GCAGGATGCTAACTTCTAACATAGGCTATATGTTTATATGTTTACTGCTATTTACCATTTGATGCTTACTGTAAAACCCCAGATTCCCATTAATATATTTCAATCCCTTTTTATACAATACTATTTTATAGATTTATCTCATTTTACGTTACAATTTGTGTTTATGTGTTTCCATGTTTTAAATATTTTCATGCCTTTAGTGTACCCCAAAATCACAGAACTGAACACTAAAATGAATTTCGTCATTTTGTACTATTCAGAGCCTTTTATGTGCATGCATAGTTCTATAGACATTTATTGAAAAGACATGTACTAAAGTAAAACAACTCATTTCTTTTGCAGAACTGTGGACAGCCTAGATTTTTATTTGTAAAATTTTTATTGAGACTTAGTGATAATCTAAATATATACATAAGGTCTAACAGATTTCTTGAGCTTTACAGTAAAACATAAAGGCTGCACCATGAAACTGTTAGAATTACTAGTTAAATTTTATAAAGTTGTTGGATATGTAATTAGCATGTAACAAAAGTGAACTGACTGAAAGAGAAATCACCAAGTATTTATTGTAACAAAAATACTTAGAAATAAATGTAAAATAGAATATAGTGGCAAAAGAAAATGAAGGAAAAGTGGAGATATACCCAATGTGAGCATCTGTTAGTTTAAGTATTTTAATTAGCTTTTAATTAATACCTTTGTATGATAATATTTTGTATCTGGAAAAGGTATTGCATTGTGAATATTGTGTACATTTACGTTTAAAAATGAAACAATAGATTGACCACAAGGCAACTTTCATGATTAATTTATTTCTAATCTCAACCATTCTACTTAAAGCTTTTTGGGATGAATCTAGTTTGAGTGTCAATATCGTATAAATTATGCTGTCTAGAATACAGACATAATCATTTAAGTTCATGTTTTTCTTGAGGTTTTCATAGTGCTTCTAAGCCCTGTGGCATGTTTGATTTGCTGCTGCAAGACAGTATGGGAGTTCTTCACTTTTATGAGATGGGTTTCCCGACTCCTATTATTTACAGTTGACAGTAATATCTCGTGAGGTCAGACATGTTTTTCTAGTCAGCACCCAGTCCTGGATCTTGGCATGGTATACTGAAGCAAGTGATTCCATATATCTGGCTACTACCTTGAGATTATTACTCTCTCCAAAGATGGATCCTAAGGCTTCTTTGTATTCTTTTTTTTTTTTAATAGATAAAAGAATTAAAGTAGAGAACTGGGAAGCTTCTAATTGCTTCTCTGTGGCATATTTTTAACCAAAAACCTGTTTTTTTCAAAGTCAATAGATTTTTAGGTGTTTTCAGCACAAATGTTTCACCACTGTATAGGCTGTGTTTTCTAGTGTTTATTGACATTTTGATGATTGTGTAATTATCTATTGTTGACAATATTATAGAACTAGTATATTGGGCCCTGCGCAATGATCAATTGGCTAATCCTCCCCTCCCAAGTGTTAGGATCCCATATTAGGACCCGGTTCATGTCCTAGCTGCTATACTTCCCTTCATGCTCTGGTAGAAGATGGTTCAAAGCCTTGGTCCCCTGCAGCCACGTGGGAGACCCAGAAGAAGTTGCTGGCTTTGGATCAGCTCAGCTCTGGCCATTGTGGTCACCTGGGGAGTGAACCAGTGGATGAAAGATCTTTCTTTGTCTCTTCTCTGTGTAAATCAGCCTTTCAATAAAGATAAATGTTAAAAAAAAAAAAAAACCTAGTATACTGTATCCCCATAAAATGTAAAGCATGTGAATTTTGCTTGTAATTTGAAATGATTCACAGATGCTTGAGGCCTATTTTTACCTATTGATAGCTTCATTGGAAGACTAATCACATGTCATGCAATTTCATTTAAAGCATGATTTAGTGCTTTTCAGTTATATTCCCAGAGCTTTGTAGCTGTCACAGTGTATTGCTGAACATTTTTGTCATCCTCGAAGAACTCATACTCATAGACAATTCACACGCCATTGTTCCCAAAATCCTCTCCTCCCATCGCCATGAGCATGCACTAACTTACTTCCTATCTATATGATCTTACCCATTCTAGACCATTTCATACACATGTGGTCATATATGTTTTTAAGAAATTATTTTTCTGTTACAATAATAATTGATGCATGTTATGGCATGTGTTAGTACTTTGCTTCTTCTTATGACTGATACCCTGTTTTATCTATACATGTATAGTTTAATGGATCTTTAAATTGTTTCCCTCATTTGATTCTTATTAATAATGCTTTCACAAGTTTTTAAGACAGTTATGTATTTGAATGTTAGAACACTCCCACTCATTTATTCATTCCCCACATTTCATCAATAGTTATTAGGGTTGGACCAGGCTGAAACTCTTAGCTCTGCGTTGCATATAGAATAGAATTTGAGTCTTGTGGTCATGCTATTTTTCATTATTTGAAAACCACTGAGTTTTTTTGATTCTTTTTTTTTTTAGTTTATTCTCTTCAAAACACTTTCTTCTGACTATATTCTTCAATGACTCATAGATCATACAGTAGCATCATTTTGTTCAATAAGGTTCTTGATTTTCTTTTTCATTTCTTCAGCAACAGTTGTTTAGTAGATATTATTTAACTTCATGGCATTGTTAATATTTTTTTCTTTGTTTTTGTTTTGTGGCTTTTCATTTAAGGGGTTGTACAGTAACTGAAATAGAGACTTATCATATTCAAATGTGATACAATGCGGTATCCATCTCTACTTGAAGACAAAGATGGACTCCCAATGAAACTGTTAACTGTATCTTGACACTAGGATGCTGGACTCTTTGCCATTGTAGTGAAGGACATATGACTGTTTATGAAGAACTATACTATAGTAATGATGTAGGGGAACTCAGTGGAGGGGGGCAACTTCGGGAAGGGATAAGGGAAATTCCAAGGCCTATGGAACTATATCATGATAATAATAAAACCAAAAAGTAACAACAAAGGAAAAGCACCTTCACACAGTTTTTGTTTCCTCCAAGCATATTAGTTTTTCAATTTCTCCATGTTTTGACCAATATTGTTGATTGGTTTTGTTTTTACTGTAGCCATCCTAGTATGTGTGCAGTATTATCTTGCGATTTTCATGTAGATTTATCTGGTGATTAATGCTGTTGAGTGTCTTTTCATGTGCTTGTTGACCACTTACATGTTGTCTTTGTGGAAGTGCCTCATAACTTTTGCCTGTTTAAAAATTATCCCTTATTGTTGAAATAGTCTACTTCAAGTGGCTAATTAGATACATTTTCTTTCGTTCTGTTAATTATCTTTTATCACTTTCTTGATGATATCCTTTGTAGCACAGAAGTTTAATTTTCATGAAGTTTGACTTTTTTTCTTGCATTGTGTGTGTTTCTAGGAAAGATAGCTCAGGGGTTTTACGACTTATTCCTTCATTTCCTGAGATCTTTATAGTGCTAGCTTTGCCTTTATGGTAAAATCCATTTTTAGTTAAATATTGTACGAATGTGAGCAAAGAATCAGCTTTTTTTGTGGCATGTATTTCCGGTTACCTTGATACATTTGTTGAAAAGACAAATTTCGAATTGTTTTGACATCTCCTCAGGTATATTTTTAAATCTTTCAGCATATTCATGAACTGAGTTTAATGTAGCTAGTGACAAGTTAGGATACCAAAAAAAAAAAAGGCGAAGCTACATTTTTTTAATGAAGTTTTACTTATTTTCATTTTACTTGAAAGATAAAAATAAAGAAATCTGTCTATGATTCCTTACTATATGCCTGCAACATCCACGATTTGGCCAGAGTTAAAGCTAGAAGTGCAGACCTCTGTATGGTTCTCCTATGTGGTTGGCAGAGACTCAGGCACTTGAGCCATTATATGCTCTCCCCAAGGGTGCCCGTTAGCAGCAAGTTGGCTCTGAAGCAGAGATCTGGGACTTGAACAAGTAGTCTGTCAATCTGGGGAGCAGGTGTCCTTAAGTGGTAAATTTAACACTATGCTAAATGCTTGTGTCTCACCTAGTGTTTTGAGACCCTGTTAGATCCCTTGTTATCATTCTGTATTACTTGTGTTTTAGTTACTCCTGAACTCGGTGACCTAAACCAGAAAACTGTAGGTCATGAATTTAAGAGACTGAGCTCTGATGTTCTGGCTTGGGGCTCTTATTAAATTAGTCAAGATATCAGTTTTGGCAAGAATCAGATCAAGATACAAGATATTGTTAAGGGTGCAGGATCATCTGTATCTAAGTTGGTCCACTCACATGACTATAACAGGAAATTTGAGTTCCTCAGCACATGGATTTCCTGTGAGGGTGCCTTTAGAGTGTTCCCTAAGTGTGGCAGTTAATTTTCCTTAGGACATAGCCGAGTAAAGAGGAAGCTGAAGCACTGTAGTAATTTATTGGCCATTACTCATATTCTCTTCCCTGCCTTACTGGTTTAATTGAGTCGCTAAATCCAGCTCAAGTGTGGGAAGACTAGGTATCTGTTTTAGAAAGAATTGTCAAAGAATATCTAAACACACGTTACACTGCAATATATTCTTGTCAGTGTTATTCTAAAGCCTAATTTCAAGTGGCTGATGTTTTATTTTCATATTAGGTGCCCAATTATTAGCTAATAAAAGGAAATGATCTTAAAAACAATTTGTTTTTTCTTTTTTTAAAGCACTTATCTTTGATAATTCTTAGTTTTAGATTCATAAAAAAGTAGGATATGTATATCAGAAATATAGTCTCAACAAATGTGACAGAAATAACATTTCTAAAGTGATGTTTTCTAAATTCCCTCAGTTGTTTATCTACTTTCTAAGAAACTTGAAAGTAGTTGTATCTGAAGCTGTGTTTGAATACTTTCCACTTGGTAGCTAGGAATTTTGATACTGTAAGAAACAACTTAAAGTTAATCATCTCCTCTGTGGCAAAATCATAGGCACCCATTTCAGTATTTTCCTTTGTAATTTTGATTCTTCTTGCAAACTTTTTTGTTTGTTTGTTTGTTTGTTTTTTTAGGTAATGATTTTGCAAGATTTTGGAACTGGTTTCTAGTGGGACCCTGAAGGAGGATGAACACAGAAGAGCTGGAGTTACTTAGTGACTCCAAATACAGAAACTATGTAGCTGCAATTGACAAAGCACTAAAAAATTTTGAATACTCTAGTGAATGGGCAGATTTGATATCAGCACTTGGAAAACTTAACAAGGTATGTTTGTCTTACTTAATAAAAGAAAAATCAGGAGTCCATTTTTATGTTGAATGAATTTCTCTGAATCCTGGAGTTAAGAGCCTAGAAATACAGTTAAACCTCATTATTTTTGGTAGTACAATTTGAACTCAGAAGTTGCATACCTACCTAGTCAGTCATACTGTTACAGTTTTAGAAGATCCAAAGAAAAATGTATGGAGCATGTAATCTTTACATATGAAAGCACAGTACTATAAATCAAATATACTAATTGTGAGACTAGTCTGTATAATTGAACATCAGTTATGGTTCTGGAGTTCCTACCATCAAAAAGAAAACTTCAAGTGGAAAGAAGTAACTGCCCTATCTTTCCCAAAGCCTGCCTGGCACAAGGGAACATCTTATTTCCAGGAAAGTCTTTACAATTTTTGTTCTTTGTACAATAGCGGCTCTATATAAGAGTGAGTACAAATAGTCATTTAAGCCTTGGTGCTTAGCTTTGAGTGATTTTGCTTTAACTGTGTTTAATTTTTTTCTGCTATAATTGTAAAGTGTCTTTTAAGGCTTTTTTTTTCTCTATAATTGAAGACTTTTTGACATGGCTGACTTACCTACAACAATTTTAGAATCATCACCGATAAACTTTTAACTAGCTTTTGACCAAAAAATAAAATAAAATAAAGCTTTTGACTAGCTTTTTTTCTCTACTATTATTGAAATTTTCTCACTTCATCCATAGTTTTAATGACTTTTTGTTTTTAGCTGAATAGAATATTTCTGGATATTCAAGGGGCTAGATGGGAAAGCAGTGTTTTTCCAAATTCTATCTTAGTATGGATTAGCTTCTCGGCAAACAATTATTGGAACAAAAATTTGTCTTAAAATACCATACCAAAGACACTAATTTTTAACTTGCAAACACCTTACTACCATCAAAAGCTTAACTTTTCAATGTGTCAGTGATTTATGTGAAAAGTGGTTGCACAAGCATGTGTTTCAGATGTTCACTTCAAACATTTAAGATTAAGATGCTGGACTCAATGCTGGGTATGTGCTTGCAATGAAGCAATCTCAACTGAACTTAAACTGTGGTTATGCAGCAAGGTGGAGGAATCCACCATGGGGGGAGGGTTGTTGGGGGGGATTCCAAGCACCTATAATAAAACTGTATCACATAATACAATGTTATTAACAATAAAAAATGTTAAAAAAAGATTTGAGGTTTAAATAGTTCTTGTTATCTTAACAGTTAAAGACAGTTTTATCAGACGTGTGAGTTTGCTTAAAGATAGATACTTTCTGCTTCTGAAGACTACTGAGGGTCTGTTCCTGATCATTTAGCCAAGTGTTTTCAAAGCCCATTCATTAAATTCTGGAAGTTGGTTACCTAATTAATTGCATAGACAGGTTTAAAACAATTTTTTTAAAAATTAAACAGTATTCATGAAATCAGATGTCAGTCTCTCTAGGTAACAAAACAGAATATTCAAGTTGTTAATAAAACTTCTGTAAGGCCATTATGGAAAGAAGGCAAGAATTGTGTGTATATTTGTGTATGTTGAATACGGCTTAACTATATATTTAAATATAAATTTTAAAAAGGGTGAGATCCAATGGTGACCTTTTTGCTATACTGCTAAGAGTGGTCCTTTTGTAGAGTTCTCTTCAGTTTTTTTTTCTTTTGTAAAGTAAGCAATTTTTTGTGCATTTGTTTCAATATGTTGCAGCATATTATACATATTCTCAGTTTCCATTTTATAACATTGTAGTAAAGTCTTACTACAATGTTGTCTTTATGTTCATACTGATGGACTAAGTTTAGAGATCTATCACCAAAAATTAATCACCTTTAGGTGGTTTTCAAGATAGAATCTTCTTAAATCTTTTCCTGTTATCTCTAAACAAGTATTATAATTGAATAAAGCAAAATTTGTTTTGTTCAGATGGAAAATTAAATGTAAAAACAATGGGCAGTTATGTGATTTATTTTTTTAAATTATTTGATAACCCGGCATTGTGGGCTAGCAGCTAAAGTCCTCACCTTATACACTCCAGGCTCCCATATAGGTACCAGTTCTAATCCCGGCAGCCCTGCTTCCCATCCAGCTCCCTGCTTGTGGCCTGGGAAACCAGTCAAGGACGGCCTAAAGCCTTGGGACCCTGCACCTGTGTGGGATACCAGGAAGAAGTTCCTGGATCCTGGCTTCGGACCGGCATAGCATCGGCCATTGCGCTCACTTGGGGAGTGAATCATCGGACATAAGATCTTGCTCTCTCTCTCTCCCCCTGTCTGTATATCTGCCTTTTCAATAAACATAAATAAGCCCAAGAAAAATGATTTGAAATGAAGTGAGAGTGATCTTCTGGTGGTTCACTCCCCAGATGCCTACAAAATGGGCAGTAGACCAGGCTAAAGCCAGGAACCAGGAGCTCAGTCTAGTTTCACACATGGGTAGCTGGGTCACTATTGTCACTTGCTGCTTCATAGGGGAGCTGTAGTCAGGAGCCAAATCTGGCACTCAGCCACTGGTATGGGCTATATGTGTCCCAAGTCTCTATTCCTCAATGAAATAAATACTTACCCTGGAATTTCTTATATGTGTTAGAGTTACTTGCTGTAGTATTTGAGAGCTAGAATATTAACTTTTTCCCTCATTCTAGAAAATATCTATAATATTAGATTTTCTTTATTTGTTTCAAACAAGGCCAACTCAAGATTTTCCAGCTGTTGTCTTTTACATTAGATATTAAAGATTTTGAAAAGCTTTGCTCTTCTGAATGAATTTGTTTTGGAAATTACTTTTCATTTAAACTGTTTGTTAACATGTAATGCATTCATTGTGCAAATTAGTACTTTTAGATTTTTTTGTTTTAATTGCCAACATATTATGCCAGAAGATATAACCGAGAAAAACAAATGCCCACACTGAATTTTCACACTGTTACTGCGTTGTCTAAAAAAATGGAAAAGGGGGGTAATATTTTTGCTTTTCTCAAATTTCTTAAAATTTTTTTTAAGGTTTTACAGAATAATGCAAAATACCAGGTAGTACCTAAAAAGTTGACCATCGGCAAACGGCTAGCTCAATGTCTACATCCAGCATTGCCCGGTGGAGTTCATCGGAAGGCACTTGAAACTTACGAAATTATATTCAAAATCATTGGACCTAAGAGACTTGCCAAAGACCTTTTTTTATATAGGTAAGAATAATTTTACAATTTATACCTAACACAAATAAAATATATTTCTAACATGTTTAGTGTTTCCTGCACTTAGAACTAATAATTTGAGTACACTTATATTTAGATTTCAGACATATTTCTTTTCTATATATGTAATTCACAAATTTTGAAACTGCAACTTTTTTATATGCTTAGCTATTATGAAAAATTTTCATTTAGAATTGTTCAGACAGCAATATATCCTGTCCTTTTAAAACTGAAAACTAGTCCTGTGGAAAAAAAATAAGATACCTTCATTTGTTAGAAGCATTCAATACTGTTAGCATTTCTCCACTTCTGTTGCCCACTGTGTTTACACATTTTCCCTGTTGAGTTACTCTTTCTTATCCTCCATTACCTTTTCCTCCTGAAGTCTCATTTAATTCTGTACTTTCGTCATATCTTTACTTTGTATCTTCCCTTGAGCAAGCTTGTCTATACCCACAGTTTATCTTTTTTAAAATGCTTTTACTTTGTATATTTTGGTATATAGCTTGATGTTATAGTGAAATGCTGCTATACTGAAGCAACTCTACCGCCTCACATACTTTTTGGTGACAATAAGGTAAAACACACTAATTCAGTAAAAAACCTAATATGTTACCATAATATTATACATTATGGTCTTCATATTGTACATGATATTTGCAGAATTTTTCACTATATATATCTTAAAACTTATATCCTTTGACGTGCTTTTCCCTGTTTATTCCTGCTCCTAGTAACTACTGTTTTATCTGTTTATTTTTTGGAATTTATTTTATTCTGAAAGTACTCTGATTTGAGGTGGTGGTTAAAGTTCTATCTTGCTTCTGATCTGGCTTCCTGTTAATGTGATCCTTCCAGGATGGAATATAATGATGGTTCAAGTGCTAGAGCCTCTGACACCTTATGGGAAGCCTGGTTGGGGTTCCTGGCTCCCAGCTTCAGCCTAACCCATTCCTGGCTGTTGAGAGTCTTTGGGAAGAGTACCAGTAGATGGAAGGCCTTTGTCTTTCTATCTGTCCGTCTCTGTTGGTGTCACTCTGCCAATTTAAAGATTATTGTAGGGCAACAAAGTTTCGAAATCTATCCATAGGTTTCTTACAATATGTACTTTTCATTTGCTTTTGGAATATCCCTTGTCCTGTACTCAAGCAACTAAAATACTTGCACATACATGTTGTTATTGAAATAAGCTTTAGGAGATCAGTGGATCAGGAGTGTTTTCCTGTTTTCTTTGATTGCTGACTTTTCAGTACCCAACTTAGTACCTGACAGATAGGAGCCCTTTAGTAAACAATTGCTGAACAATTAAAGAAATACTATTTGTTGTATTTCAATTCCTTGATATTTTCAAGGATTATTGAAGAGAAATGAGCATGGATATCTGAAACATTGTGTACTACTTCAATTTGGTAAAGAGGTATTTTTAATAATAGTGAATAATAGTGCATTCCAAAGAGCAGAGCTAAATGTTACCTGAGCATTTCTGAATCAGTATCGCATGTAATTCCCTAAGAATTGCTGCTATGCTATGTTCTTTCTCAAACCAATTATTTTCTTACATAACTCAAATATACTAATTCTTATGTCTTGACAGAGATTGCATACAGTTAAAGTGTCTATTTTTATCAGTATGTTTTATAAAAATAATTCTAAATACCACTTCTAAATGTGGCTGATATTACTATTTACACAGATACCCACAGTTTTCCTACTAGGCATACTTGCAGCTTTGGATCTTGCACTTTCCAGCTGGTTCTGTAGTTTAGCCTGATAGGACATGCCCCCATTCCCAGCACTTGCCAGCAGATGCTACAGCAAAGCCTGAGCAGCCTGAATTTACTCTGGTTCATACATGCACCATTGGGTATGGTTGCTGAGCCCAGCCGACCTCTCCTCTTAATCCAGCTCGCATGTAAGCCAACAAGTTCTGTAGCCCTTCCGAGCCTGGTCTGCCCCTGGTCCCAGTTTTCATGCTCACCAGTGGGAACCACAACCCAGCCAGGGCATCTCTTAGCTCCCCAGTGAGGCCTTCTCCCAGCCACAGATCTTGTATGTGCCAGTGATTGTTCTGACTCAGCCTTGCATATCCCATCCCACATCTTGATCTTTGCCATCAGATGCTGCAGCCTTGCTGGTAGGTGCTGCAGCCTAGCCTTGCCCAGTCTGCCCCCATCAGTGGTTTTTATGCAAACCAGTAGGTGTGATAGTTTAACCCAGCATGGCCCACACTCCATTCTGACTCCTGCACATGTTTGTTTGGTTAAGGTTTGGCCCAGCCCTGCCCAGTTGGCTCTCCTTTACTTTCCCTCCCAAACCAACCCACACGCTTGCAGACAAGTTGGAGCTGCCTTGCTATGCCTGACAAACACACATGCCTGATTCACATGTTCACCAATGAGAGCTATAGCCCACCAGGGGAGTTCCCAAAGTTACCCCACCAGGCCCACTCCCAGACCCAAATTCCATGTGTGCCAATGGATGCGAGACCCTTACCTGACATAGCCTGCTCACTCTGTCTTGGCCTTTGTGTATGCTGGTGGATGTTGTGGCCTAGCCCACCCCACAACAAATCTTGGATGTGCCTATGGGACTAGTTCTGCCTGTTCCCAACCCCAGTACCCATTGAGTGTCAGGGATTTCCGTGGTCATGCCTAACAACCCGTCAGTACGCCCAGTTCTTTAGCATGCCAGTGGATATTGCAATTCTACAGGGTTGAACCCACATACCCGCCACAGAATCTGCCCCAGTATTGGTTCTCACCTACTGCTTAGTGTCATAGCCCAGCCTAAGTTACCAGACCCATTTGACACACAGTGGTGGATACTATTATTTAACCCTGCCAGGTAGGCCCCCAGCCCTAAGTTTAGTATGTGCCAGTGGGTGGTGATCCATGGTGGTTGATACTAATTAAGCCAGCTCAGGTCTCCCTTGTGGACTAGTGCAGTCTGACTCAGAAAGGCCCTCTAGCTTCCCTCCTCCAAAGTGCTCAGTCTGAGCCCCCTTGCTAACCTGCAAGTACTGCAGCGTTGTCACTGGAAGTCCCCCAGAAATCATTCCTCACCTACAACATACTCTCTCAGCGGTCCTCCCTCCCACACATCCTTGTTGTCCCTTCTCTGACCAGTCCACAGTCCCTGCACCTGAGAGCACTTGGGTTTCCCTGGCTGGTCTTCCCAAGCTTCGTCTGGTGGGGTGGTATGCTGGCCTAGAGCTCTGGCCACCCACCAGGAACCCAGGCTCATAGATGAGTCCCTAGACCCAATCCTCTGGCGTGTGTGGTGGCCTGGGAACTTACCCCTCCACCAACCCCAAACCCAAGCATGTTCATAGTTCCCTTAGCCTGGTCCACCAGCACACCATGCCAGCATGCTAACCTAGGGCTCTCCTTACTTCCCCCTGCCAACCTCACATGGAATCAAGCATGTGCAGAAACCCCCAGGCTCACTCCACCTGCCTGGATGTGGGCCAACAGGTGCCTGCACAAGCAGAAGCCAGGTGATTGCGCAGTGGAGCATATTGATATTCTGTACTCTTTTCAACAGTGCTTTTAAAACTGAAGTTTGTATTTTTTGTATTTTATATTAAGTAATAGTTCCTGTGGACAACAAACACTTAGGCTTTTTTTAAAATAATTTTTTAAATTACATTTTTAACAATCTTTACATAGTTAATTAGGCTAAAAACATTCAAGGGCTATAGGAAAGTGGGTAAGACTATTATTTCCATATTGCTTCCTTCATTTTTATATGGGATATTAAGGGAGAAGGCCCACCCAATTTCCCACCCTCCCCAGCTCCCACATGTAGGGCATGCTCTGTGGTTCTTGCTCAAGTAGTTTTGATATTTCAACAGTTATGAATCGCTGCCAATCTTGCCACTCCAAGCACGATGAGGTCTTTGAAGAATCCACTGATTGACGTAGTCCATCATAGAGTCTCTGTTTGCCCCGTATTTCACTGCCAACATATAGCTGAGATGGTTGATTGACCTGTTCTGTCTTCTGTCTTTTCTTGGTTAGGGTTCTGAGTCCAGTATTTTGATTGGGGATATCTCCAAAGAAACTTTGTCTGAGGTGTTCTCAAACTAGGTTCTTGTATGTACTAGTAACTACAGGGCCCAGCACAGTCCATTGCCCCGAAGAGCTGGTGGTTACAATTGCTGGGTTGGTTGTTTCCAGCCCCAACTTCCACTGGAACCAGTGGGTGTTGCAGTCCAGCCTGGTTCTGCTCAGCACATACTTGGCCCTCACATAAAGCAGTGGGAGCTGCAGCCTGGTTGGAGCGACCCACAATAACTCACACCAGGCCCGCCACCCTACCCTGGTTTGCCAGTATGTGTAGCAGTAGTCCAGTCTCTCCCACACTCCATTCTGCTCTTGTACATGTCGATGAGTATTAAAGCTTCATTCCATCTAAACAGCTCAACTATCCAGCCCACACAGATGCTGTTGGGTGTCTGTCTAGCCACCCCGGCCCCTGTCCTAGTTTTCATGCCCTCGCATGGAAGTGGTAACCCAAGAAGGAGGAGCCCATTATTTCCCTCCCAGGTCTTTCCCTCTCCTGGATTATGCACAACCCAGGTAGTTCTGTGGTTTGACTTGACAAAACGAGCCCCCAGTGCCAGCTTTCTGCCAGCTGATGCTGTGGCTAAGCCCAAACAACCCTCACCCACTCTAATTTTGTTTGCACCAATAGGAATAATCAGCCCAGCCTGGCTTTTCCCTGATCTGGTACACATGAGGCGCACAAGTGTTGTAGCCCTGCTTAGTCTGGTCTGTCCCCCAACCTAACTCATGCTCTCCAGTGGGAGTAGTTGTACAGCAGGGGAACCACCGCTCCCCCCTTCCCCCCCGCCGTATTCCCTCTGCTGGCTCAGCCCCTTCCCTTCCTTGTTCTCACGTGTGCTGGTTGGGCGCTGCAGTCAAATCTGGTATAGACAACCTCAGCTTGGCATTCCGTATTGTGCACTAGTTTTGGTTGCCACCGAACCCGGCTCGACCCACACTCTGCTCTGGTGCTTGGATTTGCCAGTGGATGACGTGGACAGATTCAGCCTGGTCTGCCCCTGACCCATGCCAAATCTATGCCAATGGGACACTTTCCATGGCCTGTTCTGGCTGTTTCCTATCATGTTTCTTGCGCTTTCCTGCCAGATCTGTGTCCTGCCAGAGGAGTTGCCCCAGCTCCTCCATCAGAACCTCTCCCAAGGCCAGATTTTGTGCATACCAGTGGGTCCATGAGCCAGCCCTACTCAGTCCACCTCCTGTCATAGCAGGAACTGTGGCTTTTCCTGACTGGCCTTCAACCCAAACTGTTCCTTGCTGTTGGATGTTTCAGTCCAGCCATGGCCCATCCATGCCCACATCTGGCTCACACATGTCTCAGTAGGGGTTTGAGACCTTGCCTAGTCCATCTCACATCTACCCTGGTCCTCCAGGACACCAGAGGGTGTTGGAGTCTGGCCCGGCTCAGTGCATCCAATCCCAGTCCACATTTGTGCCAAGGGAGATTACAACTGTTTCCCATTCAGAATGCAGCCCCCATTCCAGCCCACGTACCCCGCGGTGGTATCCTCCACCCAGCTAGGGTTGTCCCTTTAGCTCCCCAACCGGACCTGTTCCCAAGCGTAGATCACATGCATGGCAGTGATTGCTCTGACTCAGCTTGGCTCAGCCCCTCACCTGTCCTGACCTCTGCCTTAGATACTGTGGCTTAGCGCTCCTGGCTGATGCAGACCAGTAGGTGCAAGAGCCTAGCTCAGCATGACCTGTGCTCTATGCTGGTTTCTAGTTTCGCTTGTGGGCTAAGGTTTGCTGAGTCCTGCCCTGTCCATCCTGTTCCATTGCCAATAGACACATTAGCCAGCTGTTGGAGCTACTTTGCCCAACTTGTCCAACCCCCAGGTCTGGACCACAGGTTCACCAGCGGAAGCTATGACTCACCAAGGGAGTTTCCCAAGTTCCTCCACTTAATCCACTCCCAGACCCAGTTCTCATACACGCCATTGGGTTTAGGCCAGTGCCCGGCGCAGTCTGGCCTTCCAATTGGCCTTATATGAGCTGGTGAATGTTGCAGCCCGGCCTACCCCACACCCTATTCAGGATGCACATTTGGGTGCTGCTGCCCTGACCAGTCCGGACTGTTGGGGGTTCCTTTACCTGTGATTGATGGCAGGCTCCTTGGTCACACCTAGCTTCGTGCATCACCACCCCAACTCTTGGGCTAACCAATGGGGCTAGAATTTCCACAGGGTTTGGCCCACACATCCCTCAGAGAATCTACCCCCAGTTATGGTTCTTGAGTGCTAGTTAATGTAATGGCCCTGCTTAATGTGACCCTTCTCCTGATCCATCCTCATGTCAGGTAACAGGATATGATTCTGCTGGGCAAGCCCCAAGGCACAGCTTTTGCATGGACTGGGATTTGGTGGTCAGCATTGTTCAGTGATTACAAGTTCTTCAGAGGAAAAGTTACTGTCATTGGGAATCTTTAGGATTGCTTCACGTCCTAGCAGCACAGTGGCTTCAACCTGGAGATACCTAAGCAGTGATTCAAAGAACCAGAACCCTAGAGGTCCAGGCCATGCGGCCATAGGCAGAGCCTGGCGCCAAATGACACCCTGGCCACGCGGGGAATACTCACCATGTGCACGTGGTGGCAGGCATCTGGTATCCAGGCATGAGATGCCCCATCCTGAGACCCACCAGCAGCCAGGAGGCTGCTGGACGTTTAACCTACCAGGCCAAGGGTGGCGGCTGGACCCTGGACCTGCCTGGTCACGGAGACCTCCCCGCTTGGTGTACTCTCCCCAAAGGGAGCAGCCTCCGGAGCTCAGGCAGGTCCGGGGACAGCTCAAGATGTGCACATGGTGGCTGGAGTCGGGGATCCAGGCATGAGATGTGCCGTCCTGAGACTTATATGCTTTTAAAGATCCATATTCTACTACAGGTTGTAGTAATGCATCTTTCTTCAAGCCTTTTTTGTTTTTAAGGTTTATTTATTTGAAAGGTATATCTTCCACCCGCTGGTTCATTCCCCACATAGCCTCAGCTGATAGGGACAGCCTGGGCTGAAGCCTTATGCCAGAACCTTCATCCGGGTTTTCACATGGATGGCATGGGCCCATACACTTAAGACATCTTTGACTACTTTTTCCATGCCATTAGCAGGGGTTTTAGATTGGAAATTGAGCAACTGGGACAAGATTGGGCTCCCATATGATTAAAGTGCAGCTTGCATACCTTAATATTTAAAAGTGTTGTAAAATAAGTTTTGATAATAGATATGTGGACCTTAGGGTAGGGGGAGATTTACAGCAGTCAGCATTTTAGTGGCAGTTGAAGCCAAAGAAGGTTTGAGATTAGTTAACCAGGCACACTGATAATGGGAAGGAAAATGACACATTTTTATGAGAATTTATGACTTACAATAGTATTACAAGACAGCTGTGTGGTAGTAGCCTATAAAAATGAACAGCAATAATCAGAAATAGAAAATGTGTTGGAAGACACAGCCAACTGGGAACCTAAAGGAGAGGAAAGTTTTTATTGGCTGTTGTCAATAAATAGCAAATATTATAGATACATAAAATACAGTAAGGGTTGGACTATTTGTAGGTTATCAAACCTTAGGAACCACAATGAAACCATTTTCAGTACATAGGGTGTGAATTTCATGCAGCCCATAAAAACAGTAAATTGGTGTGTAACCTTTTGTGAAATTAGGAAGCTAGACCAGATGTGATTTTTGGTAATGTTGTGTCAGGTTATTTTTGTATGAATAGTGATTTTCTTAAAACATCAAAATAAGCATTTGTTATCAAAAAGGGAAATGTGTATATGAGAGAGAAAGAATGAGAATATGATAATGAGAATGAATTTTCTCCCGGTGGTTGACAAAACATAGCAGCTTCAAGCTAGAAAGTATTTAAAGTTTTGGTTGTTTGGTTGTTACTCTTTTTGTTTTGTAATGATGCAAGTGTATTTTGGTATTTTTATGTTGAAGAGCAAGGGAATTAAAGGAAGAAATTACAGGAAAAAGAAAGGATAAAGGATGAAGCAGGCTGTGGGCCCTGGGGCCAATGAAAGAAGGTAACTCAGAGAACTTAGGAGCACAAACTGTAAATAGGTGTGTAAAGTAACCTATGGGTAATGCACATCCGACCATAAAGGAAAATAAGTCAAGTTGTACCTAAAATTGAAATCAAAAATAGAAATTTGAAGGAGTTCTTGTTCAGTGGTTTCTATTTGCTCTGTCTCCTGGGAATAGGAGAGATTCTTAATTCATTTATAGAGCACTTGTTAAATGCATGATGTAATACTAGGAACTCAGGACATACAAATTAGAAGATATTCATGACCTCTTGGTTTCTGATAAATAGAATTTTTGAAGAAGACAAACATTAATTAAGGCAAATGTTGTAGTAAGTATGTGGTACTATGGAAACAGAGCACCCTAACCAGGTCTAATTAGAGGATCATCTCAGGGAGGGGACTTGGGCTGGGACTATAAAGTTCATAGATTTAGATACAGGAGATATAAGACAAGGAGTTGGAATTACATCTGTCAGAACAGCGTATACAAAACATGGACACTAAAAATGGACAAGGAAGATTCAAAAACTAACTGGAAAGAGTTCTTCAGTTTGGAGCAGGAGGTACAAGAATGAAATTGCTGGATGTATGTGGGCTGCAGAGTGTAAGCTGAATTTTGAGAGGTTTCAAAAACCAAATTGGCAACAAACAAATGAAAAGTTTTCATGGGAACAACTATTTCAGAACACTGCTAAAGCAGAACCTGTTAAAGGTGTGATGTTCAGGATATGATGATGCTCCTTGTAGGTAAATATTTGGTGGAGCCAGAGAGAATTTATTATATTCAAAAGATATTTGGGGAGTGACTTGATTTGGTGATTGAAGGTTAAAGTTTTGTTTTAAGACAAGGATCATGCCTAGATTTATACGTTTTGGTCATCCAGATTGGCTGTTTTGAAGAAAGTAATAGATCAAAGAATAGGTTTGCAGGGAAAGGGAGATTCTCTTTTGGAATTGTAAATTCGGAGAACTCCATGAAGCACTGGATTTATGATTATGAAACTCAGGTGAAAATACCAGATTAATGGATGTAGACATTATCAGCAAATGGTTATCAATTTATTTCCTTTTGAAAATCTTCATAATGTATATATAAATATATCTGCATAGAAATTAATGTTTTATAGTTATTCTGTCCTCCCTTTGAATTTTTTAAATAGTTCTGGATTATTTCCTCTTCTTGCAAATGCTGCCATGTCTGTGAAACCAACCTTACTCAGTTTGTATGAAATGTATTACTTGCCATTGGGGAAAACCCTGAAGCCTGGTCTACAAGGATTGCTAACTGGTATTCTTCCTGGGTTAGAAGAAGGATCAGAGTATTATGAGAGGTAAGATGGTGTTTCATACAGCCTCATAATTGAAATCATGGATTAGTCATCATTAGATCACAAGAATGTTTTGCATCACAAAAAATGAGTGATCCTAGACATTTCAGTGTATCACCTGAAGATGCTCTTATCAATAAGAAAAATTAATAATAATTGTATTAATAATAAAGTGTATGTGGTCAGTATGTCAGCCTATCATATTTGTTTCCAGGGCAGAGCATATGACTACAGCATAGATGCTTTCATTCATTTTTAAGAGAGCAATAATTTATCTTTTTAATGAGGTCTCATTTCCCTTCTTCCCCACACTGTTTTGTGCCTCAGAACCAACTCGTTGTTGGAGAAAGTTGCTGCTGCAGTGGACCAGTCAGCCTTCTACAGTGCCCTTTGGGGGAGTCTGCTCACAAGTCCTGCTGTGCGCTTACCTGGAATCACATATGTTCTTGCTCATTTGAATAGGAAGCTCTCTATGGAAGACCAACTTTACATAATTGGCAGTGATATTGAACTAATGGTAAGTCTGAAACCCTAGTGGTTCATTCTTTAAAATATTATTGAGAGCCAACAGCTATTTCAGGCAGCCACTGAGTTTTGTACCATGAATAAAGTTTCTCAGAGCTTGAATTTTTCATCAAGGAAAACAAAAGGCCAAAACTTTCAGTAGTGTTTTTCAAAGCTTAATGTTTTTTACAAAAAGCATGCTTGTGAGTCTTATCTTTTAATGTATAGATAAATCGAAATAGAAAATTACAGTGTTAGACATAGCAAGTAAAGAGTAGAACACGTCAGATTCTCTTGATTTGGGATTTGGATCCCTTCTACAATGTAATAGATTTTATGTGTTGCAGTTTTTGTTTTATGTTGATTGTGTTTTATTATTGCCATCTTGTTGTTAAGACCAAACCACTCTTAGCCATAGCCATGTTCGTTAAATATCAAACCATTTTTGGTCATAGCTTTTTTAATAAGAGAAGTTTTAGACAGTGATAATAACTAAATTCTGTGTGGAATTTGTGTGAAAGGATGGATTACTAAAGCAAGATGGATTACTAAAAAATCACGATTATTTATTTTTTTATTTCAGTGGATCTTTTCTCTGAAATGACTAAGGAAGAAAAGCAAACTCTCAAGGATAATCAAGTTTTTTTTTAAGATTTATTTATTTATCATTACAATGTCAGATATACAGAGAGGAGGAGAGACAGAGAGGAACATCTTCCATCCGATGATTCACTCCCCAAGTGACTGCAACGGCCGATGCTATGCCGGTCCAAAGCCAGGATCCAGGAACTTCTTCTGGGTCTCCCACATGGGTGCAGGATCCCAAAGCACTGGGCCGTCCTCCACTGCTTTCCCAGGCCACAAGCAGGGAGCTAGATGGGAAGTGGAGCTTCTGGGTTTAGAACCGGCACCCATATGGGATCCTGGTGCATTCAAGGCGAGGACTTTAGCCGCTAGGGCACACTGCCGGACCAGGATCATCAAGTTTTTAAGAAAAAATTTTGGCTGACAATTCTTTCCTCTTTCTCTGTATGATAATATGACTGATATTTAATGTACATTTTTGGTATGTTAATTAAAGCATAATTCCACATAAAATCAAGTAACTCTGTATGTACAGTAGTGTGAAATTTGACAAGCACATTAAGTCAGGTTCCAGTGACTACAATTAACTTGGAGAACATGTGAGTCACTCCCTAAAGTTCTCTGTGGTCTATGTAGTCAGGCCCCTTCCTTACACTCCCAGAATCTTGCACTCACTCACCTGTTTTCAGTTTGTAGTTTTGCCTTTTTTGAAGTGTTACATAAATGTACTAGCACTGTATATGATGTTTAAGTCTGGTTTCATTTGTCATGTGTCATTATGTCTTATTGCTATCTAATACATATTGTATCAATACATTATTACTTCATTCACTAGTTAATGCAAATTTGAGCTATTACCTGGTTTGAAAATTAGGCTTACAGCTGCTATAAAGTTGGACATACATATGTTTGTGTAGACATTTATTCTCATTTCTTGAGGAGAATATATGCTTAATAATAGGATGCCTGGGTCACTTGGTAAATATGCTTAACTTTTTTTATAGTAATTGTTTTGATATATACTTCTCATGCCATAAAACTTACTTTAATTTGTGCAATTCAGTATTTTTTAATAGATCTCACAAGATTCTACAATTATCATGAGTGTCTTAATTCCATAACATTTTCATCATTTTCCCCGTCTGTCCCCACCAGTAAAAACCAAGTATCTATTACCACACTACATTTTCCTGTCACTCCTGTCCTTGGCAACTACTAATCCTTATGATTCTGTGGATTTGCTTTATCTCAATATTTCATGTAAATGCAATCATACAGAATATGGTTAATGGTTTGTCTCATTTACCATCGTATCTTCAATGTTGTAGTATATGACAATACATTTCTTATTGGCAAATATTCCATAACATGTAAAACACACTTGCTATTTCCATTCATTAGTTTGTGGATACTTGGATTTCTTATTTTTAGTCATAGAAATCTGTTCATTGTGAATAATGCATTATTGTACAGTTTTTGTGTAGGCATGGGTTTTCTTTTCTTTGGTGCATACCACAGTTTGGTAACTCTGAGTTTTTAAAAGAATTGACAAACCATTACCTAAAGTGACTGCACTAATTTTCCTTTCCACATCCTTTTCAGTTCTTCTAACTGTCTTAATATACCCATTCTGCTAATGGAGAAGTATTATTTTTTAGTGGTTGTGTTGTTGACATCTCATCGTTAGTTATTGCCTATATATATATTGACAAATAGGTGTTCAAATCTTTTCCCATTTTAAAAATTGGTTTATTTGTCTTTCTGTTGCTGACTTATTTGAGTTTTCTGTATGTTCTGAATTTTTTTTTTTTGTTTGAAAATATATTTATTTGTAAGCCAGAGAGCAATACGGAAAGGGGGAGATAAAGATCTTCCATCTGCTGGTTCACTCCCCAAATGGTTACAGTGGTTGGAGCCAGCAACCCAGAACTCTGACTATGCCTCCTACTTGGGGAGCAGGGGCCTAAGCACTCGGGTCAGTTACCACCGCTTTCCCTGGGTTATTAACAGAAACTGGATTAAAAACTGAGCTGTTGGGACTTGAGTTGATACCCCCAGTACAGGATGCCAGGAGCATCACAGGTGACAGTTTCCTTTGTCACAATGACAGTTTCTGTTTGTTTTTTTTTTTTTTTTTGGATATTAAGCCCATATAATAATTACAATTTGAAAATATTTTCCCATTCTATGAATTGACTGATCACTTTGTCAAATAGTGTCATTTTAAAAAATTAGTTTTTATCAAGTCCAATTCCAGTTTTTACTTTTGTTGCCCATGTTTTTGACATCATAGGTCTAAGAAGCCATTATATAATCCAAGATCCAGGGTCTTTTCTCTGTTTTTTTCTGTGTCTTTACATTTATATGTAAATGCCAGCTTTTTGCCACATTACTGTACTTTTAAATGCAAATTTGGATATCAACTGTTGCATTTATTTTTAATGACTAATGAAAATTTTAAACCACTGTTTTAAATCTCTTTAAAAATGAAATACTTGGGAAAACATATCACAAAGGACTAAAGAGGTGCTATAAGAAAATATTAACAGGGCTGGTATTGTGTGTTAGTGGAGTAATGCTGCATTTGGGGTTCTTGGATCCTTTTATATCTGGGTGCTGGTCTGGTTCCCAGCTGCTCAGCTTCCAAATCAACGTCTTGCTAATGTATTCTGGACGTCGGGGTGTTGACTTCTATGTGGGTTCCTGCTACTCACATAGAAGACTGTGGTAAGGTTATGGGCTCCTGGCTCTGGGACCAACATTTGGAGAGTGAATCAGTAGATGAAAGATCCTTCTTTGTTCATCTATCTGTGTCTGTCTCTCTGTGACCTGAATATAAAGTAGATGAAAACAAAGGAAACATCTAATTAAGTTTAGCCAGTAGAAATTGATTTAAACAGATAACCTAAAGGAAATAAAACTAATTCAAATGAGAAGAAATATTTGGCATTTTTTATAATATAACAAATAAAAGTTTAAATATTTTAAACCAATTTTCAAAGATCAGATTAGCAGAAATAAAAGCATAGAACATGCGGAGAAACAAATTGTCAGATTTAAAAGTATAGAACCTTAATAGGAGCATAACATTATTTGCCCAAACCACAAGACCTAGCAATTCTACCTTGAGGTTAATGTTAGGTATAACTTGTACATCACATAGGTGTCTTGCATTACTCTTGACAATAGCTACAGAAACTCTGTGAATGTGCATAAGATAAACAAAAATACAAGTGTTAGCATGTGTATTTTTGTGTGAGTTCACAGAAAATATATTGTGGTAATAATTGTTGTCTTCAAAGGGAAAATTGTCTTCAAAGGTAGAGATGAAAGGATAATTTCACTGTACGTTCTGTACTGTTCAAGTTTAAGCAGTCATAATATGTGAGGGCACCACTGAAAGTTCACAGAAAATGGTATTAAAACCTCAGCTGTAGTCAACGGCCTAGGTTGCTCTAGTTGACTATTTAGGATTTTGTTTTTGTTTTTTTAAAAAAACGCAAGGAAGGCAGGGACACTGGGCTCCAGGCAGGGGGATGGCTTGAGGTGGGAGAAGGGGTCTGTATATTATTCAAGGAAGGGGGTCTGGGGATGGACTGGATAGGAACAGCTGAGGTCAGGCAAGGCTGTCTACTTGTCTGTATATGTATGAGCTAGGTTAGGGGACGAAGCAGGCTGGGCCAATCCACAGCACACACTGGCTCAAGTGACAACCAGGATGGGATGTAAGCCTGCCAGGTTTATATGAGAGCTGGGGTAAGCCAGGCTTGGCTAGATTGCTATACCTGCCAGTGAATCGGGCCATCTTGGACCTGGCTGCAACAGCTGCAGTCACATGCAAAACATGGGGCTGGGAACAGGCATGGTAGGAGAACTTTAGGGACTTCCCCCTGCCCCATTTACTGGGCCATTGCTTCCACTGGTGAATGTGAAAGCTGGGATTGGATGTGGGCTGGTGTGGGATTCGCCAGGTCCAAGATGGCCCGATTCCAGTCTCAGCATTCTCCAACAGTTACTGCAGCCTGGCTCAGCCCAGCCTTTCCTGAGTCCTAGCTCTCACTGCCACATCCACTGGTGTGCATGAGCTAGAATGGCTGCAGGCCACCTAGGCTAGGCCATAACACCAGATGGCAAGTGTGAGACATATGAGGCTAGACTGCAGTGCCCCCGGCAGGTACAGGATCTGGGATTGGAAGCGTGCCTGGTAGGGGGATCTGCAGGTTGCAGTTCCTAAAATTCAGGGCTGAGGGGTGGGCTAAGCTGATCAAGACAGCAGCACATGTTGATATACGTGTGGACCCAGGCTAGTAATGGTCAGGCTTTGCTAAGATATAGCACCCGTGGATATGCGTGAGAATCAGATAGGATGTGAGATGGACCAGACTAAACCACAACACTTGCTGGCACATGCAAAAACCCAGCTGTGGGGGATAAGCCAGGTGAAGGTTATTGCAAGTCACCCCAGCTGGGTTGCAGCACCAAATAGTGTGCATGAAGACTGGGGCCCATGGCAGGCTGGGCCAGGCTAGGCCACAAGTGCCCATTAGTTCACAGCAGAGCTGGGGCTGGGAGTGGAACTGACCAGGCAGCTGTATCCACTGGCATATACATTGATTGGTACAAGTGATTCCCCAGGTGAGGATTTTTGGAGGACTACCCAAACTAGATTGCTGTTCTCAAACACCAACCATAAGAAAAATTACAGGATGTATGGTCTGGTGGTCTAGCGCGTATGTCGGGACTGGGTCTTCTCAGTTGCTGTTGCCTGTGTAATAGCATTGCCCTCAGGAGCGGACATGACTAGCACCTCTTCTGGGCCATTGAAAGCCATCGTGTGGCTCATTGGAGGTTGAAAAACAGATTAGGTTGGATTACTCTGCTGGCCAAACTCTGCAACTACTGGGCCTGTGATATACTCAGGTAGACTTTGTCAATCAGTATAACTTGGAAAGATTTTCTCAATTCTGGTTGCAAGGAAGCTGACAACATGTCAAAACTCTCAAAACCCCTCAAAATCTCTGGAATATTAATGTGGATCTTTAAGGCGCCATCAAATGACTGTCCCTCCATCCCCAAGTGCTGATGTAGTTGGACATCAAAGAGCAATCTCCTCCCCTTCCCCTACTGTATGTAAAGCAGAAAAAAAAATTAAAGCATTTGTTCCTCCCACCTTCCAACAGACTCTGACCACCCCCACCCTAATTAGAGACCCACATGGGCATTCATCCCTCTCAACTATGTAAACAATGTTTAGAATAGAATATTAGAAAGCACCCACGTAACCTCTTCTAAACAAAGATAAAACTATTGATTTTTGAGTGTTGGCAGTCCTGAGTTTTCTGTACTCCTTACATTTAAAATAGTTACTCTTTTGTATTTTCCCAGCATTTTATCCTTGGTGATTATTGTATTTTTCCATAGTTTAAACTCAATGTGCATTTCTGGTGGGTTGTTAAATTAAAAGTCATTTAAATTTTTCTTAAAAAGCATAAAAATAGAATTTTAAAATATATTATGATGCCAAAATATTGAAATTGAATCATTCAAGGAATTTTGCATAGAGCAGGGAAAGTATAAAGAAATGTTTCAAAAACCTTTACACCTGAATCAGCATTGTAGCATAGTGGGTAAAAGCTATCATCTGTAGAGCTGACATCCCATATGTGCACTCGTTTCTGTTCAGGTGTTTCACTTTGAATCCAACTCCCTGATCATGGCCTGGGAAACGCAAAAGGTAGCCCAGGTGCTTGGGCCTCTGCCACCTACATGGGAGACCTCGATGAAGCTTCTGACATCAGCCTGGCTCAGTCCTGGCCATTGCAGTCACTTGAAAAGTGAACCAGCAGGTGCAAGATCTGTATCTCTGGCTTCCAAAAATCTTTTTCTTTTTTTAAAAAAATACTTATTTCATTTTATTTGAAAGAAAGATTTACAATGGGAAAACAGAGAGAGAACACTTACATCTGCTGTTTCACCCCCCAAATGTTGGCAACGGCCTGAATTGGACTGGTTTGTAGTGTCCCATTTGGGTGTAGGGGCCCTTCTATTGCTCTCCCAGGCACACAAACAGGGAGCCGGGTTGGAATTGGAGCAGCCAGGACTCACTCAAACCAATACCCATATGGGATGCTGACACTGCAGATGGAAGCTTAATTTACTATGCAAATGGCATATGCCCCCAAGTATTTAAAAAAAAAAAAAAAGGAAAGGAAAGAATATGGAGGAGTGAGGGAAAGTAGTGGAGGATGGCTCAAGTTCTTGGGCTCCTGCATTCATATGAAGACCCGGAAGAAGCTCCTGGCCTCAGATCACAGCTCTGGCTATTACGGCCATTTGTGGAGTAAACCAGCAGATGTAAGAGTTCTCTGTCTTTCCACTCTCTTTCAAAATATGAATAAAAATATTGCACCAAAGAAACATTTTAAAAGATTTGCTTTATTGATAGGGGAAAATTCATGTATTTTATGTGTAGTTTCAAGATTTTTACTTACTCTCCCTTCCTCATTCCCACCCTCTTTGTTCTTCCTTTCCTATTTTTCTGTTAATTTTCACAGTAACAATTTTTTAAAAGCCAATTTATTTGAAAGGCAAATTAGAAATTAAGGGAGAGATTGTCCACTGGTTGGACATTTAAATTACTACTACAGCCAGGACTAGGCCAAGTTGAAGCCAGGAATCAGGAGCTTCTACCATTTATCCCATATGGATGGCAGGGGCCCAAGTCAGTGAGTGGGTTTGGGCTGCTTTATCAGGTGCGTTAGCGGGACGCTCTATGAGGAATGGAAAAGACGGTGTCCTGACCTACTTCTCCACTACGATGGTCCCTCTGATGACATACTTGCTTTATCATACAAGCTTAGCCCTCCACTATATAAATAATTCAAAAAAATTAAGTAGGAAAACCACTGTTCCTCAAGAATACAGACAAGGGTTATAAGCAATATTCAAATTTCAAAATGTCAGTTTCGATCACACTTTTTTTGTACTCTGTATTACCACAAATCAGGGAAATCATTTATTCATTTAAAAGCGGAACAACAGAGAGAAAGGAAGAGTACTTCATCCTCTGGTTCAGTCCCCAAATGGTCACAAACAGAGCATCTGGGCCATGCCCAAGCTCAGAATTCCATCTGCTTCTCTCAAGTGACTGGCAGAAAGCCAAACACTTAGACCATGCTCCTTCGGCTTCCCAGGTACGTAGGCAGCTAACTTAAAATCAGAGCAGCCGTGAATTTTACCCACATGCAAGCTTCAATACCAGCACAGTGCCTCAAAGCCAGCATCCAAAATAAAGTTTAAACGCCATTTCCCCCAAATCTTTTTAAATATCCACATATTTACCCATTAAAAATAAAACAAATATGTTTAACCATTGATAAGATCCACTGAAGCATGCTTTCAGACTTGTTATGTTTTCATGGAAAAATAGACAGTAATAGATAAATGTTCATTTGTTCATCTGTTTCAGGTAGAAGCAGTAAGTACTTCAGTTCAAGACTCCAGTGTACTTGTACAGAGAAGCACACTGGATCTCATACTCTTCTGTTTTCCATTCCACATGAGTCAGGTAATACATTAATGCTGTTGCTAATATGAAGTGTTCCTGTTGCCATTTAAAAGAATATATGTTGGATTTGTTTTATAAATCACTAAGTATATAGAAAGCAAATTTTAAGTAATGGAATTTTTGAACAATTTGAAAGAAAGTTTTACTGAATTGAGGAAAATATGGTAAGTAAAAGTAGATTATTCTCAGACTCTTGAAAACTTTAACCTATAAAAAGCAAAAAAGTTACAGTGCTAATTCTGAAAAAGCCAGCACTTAGGACCTCAGGTTTTTCATCTAGTTGTCATCAGTCTGCTCTGATGTGACCTGATCTTTGGGTAATTTTGGAAAGCAAACCAGGAATTCAGGAGAGGTGGTTGTGGTTTAAAAGCCAGATGCTTACTCGTTGCAGCATTCTTGAGTCCTTTTGTAATGAATAAGAGCAGCTAAGTTAACAAATACTGAATGAAGCATTTCATTTCTGGAACTTCAGTTTTTATCAGTGTCCTTAATATTTTTTAAAACATTTATTTTTATTGGAAAGGCAGATTTACAGAAAGAAAGATCTTCTGTCTATTGGTTCACTTTCCCAAGTGGCCGCAGTGGATGGAGGTGACCTGATCCAGAGCCAGGATCCAAGAGCTTCTTCTATGTCCCCCGTATAGGTGCAGGGTCCCAAGGCATTCCCAGGCCACACGCAGGGATCTGGATGGGAAGTGGAGCAGGCAGGACGTGAACCAGCACCCATATGGGATCCCGGCAACAGGAAGGCATGGATTTATCCACTGAGCCATTACACTAGACCCAGTATGCTTAATTTTAAAATAACTTAATGCTTTGTGCTCCAAACCTATGGTGAAAAGTGACTCAAAGCATATATACTAGGCGCTTATGTTGGTGGAGCTACATACTGCATCCCTTCCTTCTTGCTTTCTTAAGAATAATTTTCAATCTGAAGTTGAGACACAGTTTTACTTTCCTTCAATATTTACTTTACTTTTGTTTATAGCTACCAGTCAAGGTTTTCCCAAGCCTTATCTTCTATAGTTTGAATTGTGAAGAAACATCTGTTGAATTTTTCTGGTAAACAATTCCAGTATCTTTCTAATTCTTTTTTCCCATTACTTCCCTGCTTTTCTGTAGTTAACACTCAAAGTTACAAGCGAGCAGAACATTCATTGCTTTGTGCCATTGAATGCTGCTATTCATGCCTTGTGCCAATGACTGCTATTACATCATAGATATACCACTGGACATCTTTTATTTTATCTTGTGGAAAGCTTACCTAATCTCTAACACTTAAGCCTTTAAAAAATATATGTGTGTGTGTGTGTGTATATATATATATATATAATTATATATATAATAATATATATTTATATATATAATTATATAAATATATAAATTATAAATTATATAAATATATATAATTATTTATATATATAATTATAATATATTATAATATATATATATAATTTTTTACTTAGAGGCAGAGTTAAAGCTAGGTTCAAATCCCAAATGGCTTCTACCACTGAAACCAGCAGCCAGGAATTCCTTCTGGGACTCGCATATGGGTGGTAGGCCTCAAGTACTTGAACTATCTTCTACTGCCCACCCTGTTGCACCAGCAATAACCTGCTTTAATGTGACTGGACTTTTGTATCATCTTATAACATCCATTTTCTCTTTTTTCTTTTGTAAGATTTACTTTATTATTTTTTTTTTTTTTTTGGAAAGTCAGATATACAGAGAGGAGGGGACAGAGAAGAACATCTTTATCCATTAATTCAATCACCAAGTGGCTGCAATGGTTGAAGCTGAGCCAATCTAAAGCCAGGAGCCCAGAGCCTCTTCCAGGTCTCCCATGCGGGTGCAGGGTCCCATGCCTTTGTGCCATCCTCTCCTTGACTGCTTTCCCAGGTGACAAGGAGGGAGCTGGATGGGAAGCAGGCTGTCAGGATTAGAACCAGCACCCATATGGGATCCCTGAATGTGAAAGGCGAGGACCTTAGCTGCTGGGCTACTGAAGCAGGCCCCACTTTTTTTCTTTTTCTTTTTTTTTTTATATTTTTATAAAATTTTATTTTGACATTCTTTACATAGTTAATTAGGGTAAGAAGGTTCAAGGGCTACAGGAAAGTGGATAATACTAGTATGTTTTCCATATTGTTACCTTCATGTTTAAAGGGGGGTATTAAGGGAGAAGGCCCACCCAATTTCCCACCCTCCCCCGGTCCCGGATGTAGAGCATGCTCTGAGGTTCTTGCTCAAGTGGTTTTGATATTGCAACAGTTATGAATTGCTATCAGTCTTGCCACTCCAAGCACTATGAGGGCTTTGAAAAATCCACTGATTGACATAGTCCATCATAGCTGAGATGGTTGGTTGACCTGTTCTGTCTTCTCTCTTTTCTTCGTTAGGGTTCTGAGTCCAGCATTTAGATTAGGAAGATCTCCAAAGAAACTTCTTGTACGTGCCAACAAGTACAGGGCCTGGCACTGTCCATTGCTGCAATCAGCTGGTGGTTGCAATTGCTGGGTTGGTTCTGTTTTCACTCCGGACTTCCACTGGAACCAATGGGTGTTGCAGTCCAGCCTGGTTCTGCCCAGCACATACTTGGCCCTCACATAAACCAGTGGGAGCTGCAGCCTAGTTGGAGCGACCCACAATAACCCCCACCAGGCCCACCCCCTATCCTGGTTTGCCAGTATGTGTAGCAGTAATCCAGTCTGTCCCACACCCCATTCCACCCCAGCCGCTGTCTTTGTTTTATGTCTTCCTGTGGAAGTGGTAACCCAAGAGGAATTTCCCTCCCAGGCCTCTCCCACTCCCAGATTCCAGCTGATGCTGCGTCTAAGCCCAAACAACCCTCACCCACTTTAATTTTGTTTGCACCTATAGGAATAATCCGCCCAGCCCGGCTTTTCCCTGATCTAGTCCACATGAGGCGCACAGGTGTGGTAGCTCTGCCTAGTCTGGTCTGCCCCCGTCCCAGCCCATGCTCTCCTGCGGAAGTAGCTGTCCAGCAAAGGAACCCTCCCTTATTCCCCTGCCGGCTCTGCCCACTTCCTTTCTTGTTCTCAGGCTGGTTGGGCGCTGCGGTCCCTTCCAGTACAGGCAACCTCACCTCGGCATTCCATAATGTGCACTAGTCTTTGTTGCGACCGAACCTGGGTCGACCCAAACTGGTGCCTGGATTTGCCAGTGGATGACGTGACCAGATTCAGCCTGGTCTTGCCCCATGTCTGCCAATTGTATGCCAGTGGGATACTTTCCATGGCCTTTTCTGGGCTGTTTCCTATCATGTTTCTTGCGCTTTCCTGCCAGGTCTGTGTCCTGCCAGAGGAGTTGCCCAGGCTCCTCCATCAGAACCTCTCCCAGTGCCAGGTTTCACGCTTACCAGTGGGTCCATGAGCCAGCCCTACTCAGTCCACCTCCTGTCCTAGCAGGAACAGTGGCTTTTCCTGACTGGCCTTCAACCCAATCTGGTTCTTGCTGTTGGATGTTCCAGCCCAGCCATGATTTGTCCATACCCACGTATGGCTGCACATGGCTCAGTAGGAGTTTGAGACCCTGCCTAGTCCCTCCCACATCTGTCCTGGTCCTCCAGAACACCAGGGGGTGTTGGGGTCCGGCCCGATTCGGTGCATCCAATCCCAGTCCACACTTGTGCCAAGGGAGACTACAACTGTTTCCAGATCAGAATGCAGCCCCCCTTCCAGGCCACATGCCCCTTGGTGGTAACCTCAGCCCAGCTAGGGTTGTCCCCTTAGCTTCCCCAACCGGGTCTGTTCCCAGCCATAGATCACTTGTCTGCCAATGGATGCTCTGACTCAGCTTGGCACAGCCCCTCCCCTGTCCCGAACGCTGCCTTAGACACTGTGACTTAGTGTCCCTGGCTCCCGCAGACCAGCAGGTACAAGAGCCTAGCTCAGCATGACCTCTAATCCCTCCTGGTTTCTAGTTTTACTTGTGGGCTAAGGTTTGCTCAGTCGGGCCTGATCTACTCTGTTCCATTACCAGTTGACACACTGGCCAGCTGTTGGAGCTACTTTTGCAGGACAAGCCCCAAGCCATAGCTTCTGCATGGACTGGTATTTGGTGCTCAGCATTATTAGTGATTACAAGTTTTGCTAAGGAAGAGTTACTGCCTGTTTCAGGTCCAAGAAGCACAATGAGTTCAACCTGGAGCTAATTAAGCAGCAACTCAAAGAACCAAATCCCCAGAGCTCCCTGGCCAGGCAACCAGCAGGCGGAGCCTGGCACCAAATAGCACATTGGCTGCCTGGGGAACAGCTCACCATGTGCACATGGCGGCTGTCCGGGATCCAGGCATGAGACGCCCCGTGCTGAGACCCACCACTTAATAATTTTTTTCCCAAATAAGGTTGAAAGACTTTAGTAGCTCTGAAGATTTGGTGACAATGTCTACAATCTACATATCTGATGTTTAACAGCTTAGGACTTCTCAAATACATTGATTGCAGAATCCAATTAGAATCCTTAGAAATGTTGTGGATCCTAAAAATATTTTTTAGGTTGGATTGGATTTATCATATTAGAAATTAAAACTGGAAAAATTTTAGTTCATATAAAAATAATACTAAATTACAATAAATAACAGTGGAAGTAATGATTTTCTTACACATAAAAATTAATAAATGTTATTTTTGCAAGTCTCTTCAATGTTTACCTTAAATAGCAGAGGGTTCGTGTCTACCTCTGCATTTAGTCTATTGTGATTTTTTTATTTGATAGAAGTATGTGAGCAAAATATCTCATGCTGACCTGTAGTTGTAAAAATAGTAGAATTTCAGTAGTGTTTTCTGTTTTTCATACATATTCTTGATATTACACCAAAACTTGACAGGGTGTAGTTTTTCAAAATCAGTTGCAGTATGAAATTTAAAGCCTGCTATCAGTGTATTCTTTTATTAAAATCCACTGGTTCGTTGAGTACTTTCAATGCATCGTGCACTAATTTTTGATTCGAATATCTTTTTGGTTATTTAGAAGAAAATGACTTGTGCAAATTTTCTAAATAATGAGATATTGCTTACTATGGTACGAGTAGTCTCATTTATTATCTTTACCTCTGATGTATCAGTAAGTATTTTTAGGTATTAAGAAAATTTGAAGCCAATTCAGTTCAAAATAATACAATTTCCAACCAAATATATGTTTTCAAAAATAATTTTCTTTTGGAATCTCAAATTTTATTCTTTTGAACAATTGTATTAAGTTTCCCTAAGAAATGCACAGAGAATGAAAGCGTCTAAACTTCAATAATTATAATTTCAGTTAGTGATTCTTTGAGAGTCTGTGAAAATTGACAGTTCAGTTTAAACCCGATTAATTTTACAGATGCTTTTCCTTGAGACAACCATCATTTTATGTTTTATTTACTGTGAAAGAAAGATCCCTGCTTCAGTCTCCAAATGGCTGCAGCAATAATGTCTACAACAGGCTTCAGCCAGGAGCCTGACTCCAACCCAACCCAGTTTCCAAAATGGGTGCCAGACGTTTGGTTGGTCTTCATGTTATTATGAGTATGCATAGTTTGTGATGAATATGGATTGCTATTTTTTACCTTCTGCTCCTGAAAGAATCTTAAAGATTTGAAACCAAAAAAACTTAGAATTAATAATTTTTGCTGTGAATTTTGTTTTCCACACTTCCTATCATTGGTATCTTTTTCAATAAGTCCTTGTGATTCTTCAATAGATCATCCATGAGAGACGTCTTGTTTACAAGCACCTAGTGCTGTAAATGTCCTTTTTTTTTTGCTGCATCTCGTGGGCATTGGACTCGCCATTGTCCATGGCTGCAATGATGACATATGTCTGTCTGTATGAAGAGCTATACTATAGTAATGATCTAGGGGAACTTGGGGAGGGGATAAAGAAATCCCAGGACTTATGGAACTGCATCATAAAATGATAACGCTAATTTTTAAAAAAGTATAGTGGAGACTGCCAAGTCCAAATGTGGAGACATAGTATAGTGCTCCTCTCTGCATCCAGACCAAAGATGGACTGCCAGCGGAACTGTTGAATATATCCTAACAGTAGAATGATAGATTAATGACTGTTCATAAAGGACTACCCATTGTAATACCAGAGGGGAAATCAGTAGTGAGGGGGAGGGAACTTGTGGAGGGGGAAGGGAAGTCCCAGAGCCTATGTAACCGTATCATAAAATAATAATAATAATAATAATAATAATAATAATAAGTTAATACAAAAAATGTTCTTAAAGAGTCCTTTGTATCCAGGGTTCACATTTCAGAATTGTACAGATGAATAAAAGACATCTGTGTTTAAAGGAGTACACATATTATTCAGCTGTTGATATATGTTCTAAAAGTCTGTTATTTCACATTTTGTTAAAATAAGCTAGATGAATGTCTTTCAAATGAAGGATGGTATAGTGTATTAAAATGTTTACTTGTCTGTAATTAAGGAGCTGTCAGTTCTTTATCTGATTACTAACCAGACATCTGAATTTTGCTAATCCTTTAGACCCTGTAAAGTTCAGGCTTTTTATTTATAGAGTTTGCCAAGTTATCTTCTGATTCTCAGTTTCCACACTTTTAAAGAGATTAATAATTCTCTTAACATCTTTTACCTACCTTCCTATTTTTTTTTAACATTATGTATTTTAGTTTAAACAGGAAAAGTCTCCTTGAATTCTTTCTTAGACATTTAATTAAGGCTAATGGGAGAACAGAGAAAAAAACCTCTGGAGATATTTGGCCTATGGTTAAAATGCCCATATCGCATATCAGAGTTCCTGAGTTTGCATCTTGGTTCCATTCTTAATTCTAGTTTCTTGCTAATAAAAACCCTGCTAGGCAATGGGTGATGATAGGTTAAGTGGTTGAGTCACTAACATCCAAATGAGGGACTTGGAATGAGCTGCTGCAGTGGTTCAGTTCCAGGCATTACGGGGACTTATACAGTGAACTGACACATAGGAGCTCTGTGTATGTCTGATTCTCTATTTGTCTCTGTATGTGTCACTGTGTGTGGCTGCCTCTCAAATATTCTAAAAGATTTGAAATGGAACATCTGTTAAGGTCGTTTGTTGATGTACAAGAGTTCATTATATTTTTGTATGTTTCAAATATTGTTTTTTTAAAAAATGAAGGACTTAGAATTAATATAGTAATGTGGTTTTTTTGTTTGTTTTTTAAAGATTTATTTATTTATTTATTTTATTGGAAAGGCAGATATACAGAGAGGAGGAGAGACAGAGAGGAAGATCTTCCATCCAATGATTCACTCCCCAAGTGAGCTGCAATGGCCGATGCTATGCTGATCCGAAGCCAGGTGCCTCTTCCGGGTCTCCCACGTGGGTGCAGGGTCCCAAAGCTTTGGGCCATCCTTGACTGCTTTACCGGGCCACAAGCAGGGAGCTGGATGGGAAGCGGGACTGCCGGGATTAGAACCAGCGCTTATATGGGATCCCGGGCGTGCAAGGCGAGGACCTTAACCACTGCGCCATCACGCCAGCCCCAATATAGTAATGTTTTAAAGAGTGTGGTTAGTTGACAGCACTACACCTGAGAAAAGCTAATGGCATATGATTTTCTTACATTTGTACTATTTTAGTACAGTTAAAGTTTTACTTTAAATTTTGTGATTGAAACTGTGATTGCAGTTAACTTAGCTATCATTAGAGCTAAGCAGCTGGACAGTCATGCTACCTAATTTTCTGCCTGTTTCCTAACGTATGAAGTAGATGTATTAATTCATGTGACATAAAGAACAAATGATGTGACTGGCACAGTAGCATAACAGGCTAGTCCTATACCTGCCAGCATCAGCATCCCATGTGGGCATCAGTTCATGTCCTGGCTGCTGCACTTCCAATCAAGATCCATGCACATGTCCTGGGAAAATAGCAGTAGATGGCCCAAGGTCTTGGAACCCTGCAGCCACATGAGAGAAATAGAAGAAGCTTCTGGCATAGGTAGATAGATAGATAGATAGATAGATAGATAGATAGATAGATAGATAGATAGATAGATAGATGAAATAATGATACAGAAAAGTACTCTGTACCCTGTTATTCTGAACATATTGTAAGGCATATTTTTTTAATAGGGACAAAAAGTAAACTTTTGTATATGAGTAAGTATATTCAAACTCCTTATTCTTTCAGGCCACTCGACCAGACATGATCAGGATCTTGTCTGCAGCTCTTCATGTGGTACTAAGGAGAGATATGTCCTTGAATCGAAGACTCTATGCATGGCTTCTTGGTAGGTATTTGATGCATATGATTATAACTGGAAAGAAATGGAAGAAGATTGCCATATCTATTTCTAAGTTGGGTGCATGGCCTAAATAAAAAAAAATTGTCTGACTCAATAAAAAAATAAAAGTGGTATAATTGTATATTTTATGAAGAAACTTCAGACTCTGTTAAAGCCATAAGATCATCTTCTCTTTGGGAAGACTTTTTTCACCTATATTGAGGTTGATATGCCGTAAGTTAGACAAAGAAGGCTAAAAAAATGATGGAACTTCTAAAATACTGAAGTCGTGTAGGAAACTAGAATGAGTACTGCTGTCTGAAGCATGTATCTGTCTCAACAGGCAGTAAAGCACCCATATAATTTTGTGTTCTGTACTTCTGTGAATATTTGTCCTGTCTTCACAACTCCTTCCTGTCTAGGAGAAGACAGAATATTATGTATCTATGATGTTTTGACTCTCCGATTATTCCATTGTTCCCAAGAATGGGGGAAAAATACAACAGTTCTGGAAGAATATTATGATACTTATGTACTGAATTGGTTTCCTTTTATTAAACTATCTAAAATGGTCTCTCTTGCTGACATTGATTGGGCTGCAAATTGGTAAGTGTTTGGTGCTGTTTTGGTAATGCGGTTTTGGTATTCAAAGAACATCATTTTTGAGAATTCAGTTTTAATTCTTTTTATGATTTGTTTCCATGGAGGTTTTGATAACAACGGTGCTATTATAGGACCAAGAAGCACAAGACACAGTAATCCTGAAGAACATGCCACTTACTATTTTACTACCTTTTCAAAAGAACTGTTGGTCCAGGTATGAGAGCTTTCCTTTTTTTTTAATTAATTTATTTTTTATTACAAAGTCAGATATACAGAGAGGAGAGACAGAGAGGAAGGTCTTCCATCCACTGATTCACTCCCCAAGTGACAGCAATGGCAGTGCTGTACCAATCTGAAGCCAGGATCCAGGAACCTCTTCCGGGTCTCCCACATGGGTGCAGGGTCCCAAAGCTTTGGGCCGTGCTCAACTGCTTTCTCAGGCCACAGGCAGGGAGCTGGATGGGAAGTGGAGCTGCCAGGATTAGAACCGGTGCCCATATGGTATCCCGGCATATTCTAGGTGAGGACTTTAAACGCTAGGCCACGGTGCCAGGCCCGAAAGCTTTCATTATTGATTACTGAACTCTAGAACTTCTGTATAAGTGTAAGGCAGAGTACTGCCTTAATTGAATTTAATTGAACTTAATTGAGTTGAATTAGTGGAGACATACTTCACAACTTATAATTGTGTATCACAAGCAAACAAGTATAATAAAAGGATTAGTAATCACAGGTTAAACTCCTGCATAAGGCCAGAGATTTTTACTTTGTCATTTTCATAAAATTATTAAAATAGCTTCTCACCTGTGAGAGCTTTTCCAAAAATAGGTTAGGGCCTGTGTTATTTTATATGAAACCTTAGGGGAATTTAGGCTGCAATGGTAATTGACTGCTATTGAAATTGAAATGTTAAAAATGATCCATAGACATATTTAGTGATATTTTGCTACAATTATATTTAACCAATATATCTGAAGTTAAGAAAAGTCTAGAATATTTTTAAATTAGCATATAGAAATAGTTTTGAGCCATTAATGAGAAAATAACTGCAGTTTGGCATTCATGACCTTAAATATAAACATTTTGTCTTTTAAGCTAATCATCTCATGAATATGTTTCTAGATTTTGTTTATATGACTCTTCCCCTTTTCTCTAGACAAAGTTGAAATACTGTTTTTTTTTTTCAAGAAAGGAGTATGTTCAAAACCTTTTTTATTGTTGTAGAAGAGGAAGAAGAGCAGATTTAGAAAAGGGCTTCAGAAAAGCAATACAAATGTCCATTACATAAATTTTGGTTTGAAAGTACTGTTTCATTAAAAAAGAAAAAGTTGGATTGCTTAAATCATTAGTATACTTTTCTGTTTTAAAGGCAATGGTGGGAATCTTACAAGTGAATGGATTTGGAGAAGAAAGCACTCTCATGCAAGATCTAAAACCGTTTCGTATTTTGATCAGTTTACTGGACAAACCTGAGCTAGGTAATACATATTGTCCCAAGACAGAGGTCACATATGTTTATTTTGTACTGTTTGATAAGAAAAATAAGAAAAATTTGTGAAAATGCTGTGCAAGAATACTTTAAAAATTTGTAGAAAGTCGAAGTAAAAGTTAAATTTGCTTTGGTATAAAAATTTTACAGTCTACATATCTGGACACCTTTAAATACAGATTCTCAAATCAGTGTCTTTCTTAAAATTTACAGAATTAAGAAGATGAAAGTGTGTATTGAAACCATGTATTATATTTCTTCCTTGCATTGTAGGTCTAGTGAGGTAGTTTTGATAATATCCTAACACACTTAAATTGTGATTAAATTACTGAAATAGATCCATCTGTGTGACTACCTTATTGTTCACAGAATTCAAGGTCTTGAGCAAAAACTGAATTTGGGTTCCATTCCGAAACCCCTCTTTGTTTATTTCTTTGTGTGTTTTCCCTGTCTTCATTGTTTATTTATTAGAAATGTTGGGAGATTAATCATGGTGAATGAGATAGAAGTTAAGATATAAATAGAAACAAAAAATGAAATAAGAAATACAGAGAGATGTTTCATCAAATATAGTAAAGTTCTTAAAAATGAAATTCTTAATATGTGAAAAAAATTGTATTTGCTTTGGGAATTTTCTCAACTATTAAATGATGTGCAAGAAATTTTAAGAAAATTTGTATCTGTTACTGCAATAAGATATAGCCTTATGTGTTCAGTATTTAACAATAGTACTAGTGCAAATAGAATGGAATATTATGTTCTAGGAGCTGTGCTATCTGGTCAGATGTTTGTCTTAAACCTAGGTTAGCACTGTAGGCTTTGTATCATTGTCCTCATTCTGGTTGAGGAAACTGAAGCCTCAGTGACTTGCTGGGATCACAGTTGTTAATTGATCAAACCCTTTCCCTGATTCTGGGTGTTCTATTATATTAACTTACATATTAAATAAAGATCTTTTCAGTTATTAATATTTAGTTTATCAATATGAAACTTAGTTTAGCTTCTGAAAAAGGATTATTTTTTTTAAAAAATACTCATTTCAAGGCATCCTTTAATTAGGCCAGTTTTCAGATAACAATGGATTGCCAGTGATTATTGTTCTCTTTAATTTGTATGTTAATTTCAGGGCCTGTAATTCTGGAAGATGTCCTGATTGAAGTATTTAGAACATTATATTCTCAATGCAAAGCAGAATTGGGTCTTCAGATGGAACCACCTTTCAGCAAGGACCATGCTCAGTTAAGCAGGTGGATTGCCAAAAATTAAGCATGACATAAAGATGTTCTCATTTATGAATATTCATAAAGTCAACACTACTGTGTGTCTTCATTAAATGTAGCTTAAGTGTTAGTAATAACTGCAATTCTTTCTGAAATTGTGTTTCTAATTAGTAAGATTAATTTAAAATAACACTATCTCAGTCATATGAAGTAGTGTAATTAACTGTGCTGATCAAACAAGCATGTTATTTACTTGAAAGCTAGAGGTAAAGAGAGAAAGTAATTGGGGGAGAAACAGAGAACTTCTCCATCTGCTTGTCCACTTCCCAGATGACTGCAACAGTCAGGGCTACTCTAGGCCAAAACCAGGTGGATCATCCATGTGGATTCAGGGTTCCAACTTGGGCCATCTTCCACTGCTGCCTTCCCAGACATATTATTAGGTAGATGGATGGAAAGCAGAGCAGTTGGAATTCTAATCAGCACCTGTATAGGATGCTGGCAAGACAGACCATAGGTTAACCTGGTACAACACAATTCTGACCTCTCAATCAGGTATTTTAGCTCTCAATCAGGTATTTTTAAAATTTTTTTAAAAATTTATTTCTCATGATCAATTTCTTAGGTTCAGAGATTTTCTCTTCCATTCTCCCCATTCCTCTCCCTCCAACAGTTCTCTCTGTTATGACAATAGTATATAGTCCTTCAACAACAGTCACAAGTCCATCATCATTCTATTTAAGTATATCATGACATTGCAGGAATGGACAGTGGTAGAAACTTCAGTATTGTATTTTCAGGATGTATTTAACACTTTCATTGGGAGTCCATCTTTTATTCTAATGTTATTAATACTACCAATTCAGAAAACTTATTTTTAGCTATTAATATAAAGTTACAGGATTCAGGGAATTTCTGTATGTGTATCAGATATATTTGGATCCCTGGGTTAAGTCATGTAATATTAACATGTCCTGTTTAAATAAGTACTAGATACTGACTAGCAAGTCTGTTTGTTTGTTTCTCTACTATCAGGAAATTGCCTATTTTCCAGTTAACCCTTTAATCATAGAATGACACAGGTTCCAAGACTATATATATCTTTTTAGCTAGTTTAGAATTTATTAGTGAAACTTTGAAGATTTGTTGTATTTTCTAAATAGTCTTTAAATTGAGAGAGAAAAATTGTTTTAAAAAAAATTATTGAAAAGGCAGATTTACAGAGAGAAGAGAAACAAGAATCCTCCATCCACTGCTTGGCTCCCCAAATAGCTGCAATGGCCAGACCTGAGCCCATACACAGCTAGGAGCTTATTCCGGATCTCCCATTGAGTGCAGGGTCCCAAGGCTTTGGGCCTTCTTCCACTGCTTTCCCAGGCCAAAAGCAGAGAGCTGGTTGGGAAGCAGGGCTGCAAGGATTAGAAGTGGCGCCCATATGGTATCCCGGCACGTTCAAGGCGAAGACTGTAGCCACTAGGCCACCATGCCAGGGCCTTTTACTGAGCTTTTCGAAGTTTATTATAGCCAAATATTAAGATAGTTTAAACAACTAACCCATGTGCTCTTTTGTTGGGGAAGTTAATGTTGCCTGACTTTGTATTTTATTCCTTACTCTGCTGTAAAATTTTATTTCCCCATAGGCGTCTAGTCTTTACTGCCATATCATACTATTTGTATTGATAATACATCATTATATGAAAGTAATTGATAGTAAGGATTGTAGGGTAAAAAGTGAATAATAGGGTATAGGGTAGTCTTTTGGAAAAATGTTTTTCTCTGAGAAATTGCAATTATCATGGCTATTACAAATAGTCTTGTTTTCCAAGGTTAAGCATAGTGATTTGATCAAGATTGATAAAAATAAGCTTGGAAGAAATACAGATATACAGACAATTCTTAAAGTAAAACTGTCAAAACCAATCATTCAGTTTATATATTCTGAGATAATAAAGACATTGCTGCTAAGTAACATCTAGTCGTTCAAGGCCCTATTAAATTTCCTTGCATTTTTTTATTTACAGAAGTTATCTAAAGTTACTTTCTGAACTTTATCATACATTTTAATTGTAAAAAATTGTTTGAAAAAATACACGTAAGGAAATAGGAACCTACAGTAGATAAAAGAATATTGCACTCTCCTGGCTAGTACATTTTCTACCTAGGAATGTGAACTGCCCTAATACTGCATTCAAGTTTAAATTGAGAGTGTTACTGTTTTTCTGTTTCATTTTCTTTCTTTTTTTAGTAAACTAAGGGAAAATAAGAAAACAGCAGAGCTGATTAAAACTGCCAACCTTCTCTTTAATTCCTTTGAGCCTTATTATATGTGGGATTACGTTGCACAATGGTTTGAAGAATGCTGTAGGTATGTCAAATTGTTCAACTCATTTTATTGTAATCATTTTCAAAGCTTAACTTTGGTTTTTAAAAATTGATTACTGAAAAGAATGTCTCCTGAGAATTATTTGCTCACTATAATCTCAGTGTACTTTGATACTTGAGTATATGAAGCTATTAATCATAAAATCTCAAATTTGCAAAGTAATTGAGAGATTTTTTTCATTCACTCCACTGGGTGAAAAATTTCTCACCTCCCTTCTGTAGTAATTCAGTTTTTGTATTGTAGAGAAGATAGCTACTTTGTGCTCTTTGAGTCTGCATCAATGCCCCAAAATATTCTCACTTTGGTTAATAAAACTCTCCATGGTCACTTCGGCTTTTAAGGTCATGTTTCCACCGGTATTGTTACTGATGAGTGATAAAAACTAAACTGGTGAGTCTGAAAACCTAAGAATACTAGTGAATAATGGAGTTTCTGGATTCTAGACCAAACCTATCAGAGCCACATTAATCTCTAAAAGCTCAGGAGCATGTAGTCAGAAAGCAAGCTTTACAACATGGATTTTAGGGGTTTTGCAAAAACGTTACTACTTTACCTTGGTCCTTTATTGATTTAGGAGGTTGTTCACTTACTAATTTACCTGATATTGAACACTCAGCTGAAGATGCTGTATAAATACACAGCTTGTTTTCTAAGACCTTATAGTGGAAACAAATAAGGAATATATGTTATGTTCTTGGTATTGAATTTACAATTGCAAATATATTAGTACATTGAAATGTTCAAATGCAGAGGAATTATGAGTGTTTTTTTCATTGCCTGGTCCTATCTTGTGGATGTCCACAAACAACCTTTCTATGTTCACTTCTACGTTCACATATTCACATGTCCGTGGTGCTTTAGCCAAACTGGATTATTCTCTGAATACCCAGTAACTTCTACAGTGTTCACTCAGCCTTGTTCTGCTCCTTCTATAATATTATTTGTCCTTCTGGTAAGGCTCTGTGTCAAGGGAGCCTTCCTTAACTCTGATTCCCATTAGGATTAACTCTTGCAGTGATTCTGGTTACCTTTTACTGTTTATATCTTTATATTTTCTGCTGGCCATGGAAAGTATCGTATTTTACTTGTCTTCAGTGTAGGGTATCGTGCAGTCATATATACTATGACTATGCATAATATATACATATGATATACATACATAGTATATACATATGACTGAATCTGAGTGGTTTGTTGGAAGAATGATTTCTGCTGTTTGTATGAGAACAGGCTGATTCAGGAGGTAACATTCAATCCCAGACTTTGAAAGAAAGGTAAATTCTGACTGTAAGAAAATGATGGTGGGACTGCAGTCCAGGAGGACAAAAAGAGAATAAGCATCATGGAAGAATAGGAAATAAATTCTAAAAAAAAAAAGACTTGGCTAAAACACCTGGAGGTACAAAGTAAGAGTTACAGGGAGAGATTATGTGTCTAGAATTCTTGCTCTGAGAATTTCCCACAGTGATGTAATAGTATCCTGGGGAAAGCAAGTTTGTCACTGTAAGAATGTTGTGTGTAATCTAGTTAATTAGACAGTGATGCTGTCACATGAATTCCTATTGATAGCATACTTGATAACTGACTTTGTCCTTTTAGGAGGACACTGCATGCCAGACTTCAGACGGGGCCTGGAGATAGTAATGAGTCATCTGAGTTGCAGCTGACCAATTTCTGCTTATTGGTGGATTTTTTGTTGGATATAGTTTCTTTGGTAAGACTACTTTGGTTAAAAAAAACACAAATCTAATAACATGGCTCAGATATTTCATGTTGGAGAAAAATCTTAACTTCAAATAGTTTTTTTCTTTAAAATTAAATTGATTTTAGCTTTCATATAGCTTCATAAAATGTCACAAATACCTTTTTCTTTAGTATATATATATATTTATAAATATAACATATGAAATATATCTTAGAATTGCATGTAAGAAAAATCTTAATTACGTATAGTATATAATGGTCTAATATTGCATTTAAATTCTTTAATGATTCTTTCTTATTAAATGAAGACTTTTGGAAATCTTTTCCCCTTATGTTTTCTCTCCTCAATCCTTTGCTTTCTCATTTTGAAGCCTACTAGAAGTATGAGGGTGCTGTGTCAGGTATGGCATTCAGCCTGTTTTGTTTTAACTTTTTAAAATTTTGTTGTAATTTTAGTAATATAGCAGATAAAATTGGGGTTGTTTTATAATGTATGCTTTTGAAGTAATTAAACTATTTGGGAATAGAAATTTTATGTTATCAATTTTAATTAAAAGCATGACACCTATAAAACATTGCAGATGAATAAAATTACTGATTTATATAGACTAAAAACAAATGAAACCCTATGACTTTTGGAGAAATGCATTGTTTAAATCGTTTTAATTTACTTTTGTTTTCAGGAGACTTATATTGAAATCCAGACAGAACACTTGCCACAGTTGCTGCTCAGGATGATTTCTGCTCTGACAAGCCATCTGCAGACTTTACGTCTATCTGAGCTCACAGATTCCCTCAGGCTGTGCTCCAAGATACTTAGTAAGGTTCAACCCCCACTGTTATCTGCTGGCACTGGAGGTGTGGTCCAATTTCCAAGTGGACAGAACAACACAATTAAAGAATGGGAAGATAAGAAGGTAATTTTAGTTAATATTTTTGAAATTTGGCTAGTTACATGAAAGCAGAATAATTTCTGTATAAAACAACTCATATTTAGCATTAAACATTAGCAACTCATTTAAATGCTGTGGCATTAGAGCATGATGTAGGCTTATAAAAATTGATTTTTATAAGCAAAATTTTTTTTTAACTGTTTGAGAGGCAAAATGACAAAAAGGAAGAATCAGAGGTGGCTTCCTTTTGCTGGCTCCCTCTTCTGTTGGCCACAATGACCAGGGTTGAGCCAGGCTTAAGGCATAATCCTGGAATTCCATCTGGCTCTCCCATGTGGGTACAGGAATCAAAAGATACAGACCATCTTCTGCTGCTTTCCCAGGAGCATTAGCAGTATTCTGGAGGAGATGTGGAGCAGCAGACTCAAGCCAGTGCTCAAACCTGTTGTATCACACTGCCAATCCCATCATTTAGATTTTTGACTGTACTGTCAAATCAGTACGTGTCAGTAGAAGTATAAATGTGAGTGATGTGATTTTAAATTTTCAGGTAGCATGTAAGTGAAAAGGAAACAGCTGAAATTAATTTTCTTATTTAGCCTGATATGCCCAACACATTTCCATTTATATGTGTAATCTTTATAAAATCAGTGTCACAAAAACATTAGATTAGTTTGCATCATTTTTATACTGTTTTCAAAATGTAGTGTATGTTCTGACATTACAAAGCAGTACTATGTTGTTCATCTCATTCCATCATGCAGGCCTTGTATTATGTCATCACAAAATGTGTAAGTATAGTACAGTTAGATATTTTGAGAGACAGAAATATTCATGTAACTTTTATCCAAGGCTACTATTAAAATTATTGTATATTATTATTGCTGATTTCTTATTGCACCCAGTTTATAATTTAAACTTTTTATGGATATGTTAAAAAAAATAGTATACCTCACACTCAGTGGTACTTGAGATTTCAGGACTGTCCTGGTGTCCTGGTATATATCCCCCATGAATATGGAGGCAGTGGAAAGTGCTAGGTATACATAAGGATTTTGACATTTACTGAGGTAAAGTAACTTTCTAAGTAACACAGACATTAAGTGGCAGAACTCTTTAGCTTGCTGAGGTGACGTCTCAATACCCTTAACTGTTATACTGAATGTGGGCAATCTGGGAAAAAGGAAGAGGTGGAGGTACTGAGAATGACCGTCAACCTTTGTCTTCCTGACTTTCATTCACTGAAGGGAGAAATGAGGCCCAACTTTGAACATCAGAGAATTTAGTTCAATGTTGATTGGATTACTTTTAATGAACTTACCCTGATTTAAATTATGCTCTCGCACAGTCACCCAGAAAAATTCATGGCATGTATAATTGTGCTTATTTAAATGAGCCAGGAAGTATGACTGATTATTGCACTTTTCCTATATTTACAGAGAAAGGTTAGTGCATTCCGGATATACTATTAGGGCTTAGTTCATTTGTTTATATTATAAGTAACTTTATATTATAAACTGTATTATTCTTACTGCCAAATACACGGGCACATGAATGGAATAACTAACTATTCATTGAAAAAATGCAAAGTTAATAGCAGATATTTAATTAGTTCATCACATATTTGAACAGAAATTCCAATTCATGTGATCTTGAACAGATTACCTGCTAGGTTTTCTTTTTCAGTTGTAAAATTTTATTTTCTACCCTTACATATCTTATTTTTTTGTGGTTAGGAAAGTGATTTCACAAAGTAGATTAAATAGTCACTGTCTTGATAACAAGGACCCTGAAGATTTTTTTTTTTAATCTTTTAAAATCTCTACCAGGTATCTTCTGTTTCTCTTGAGAATCCTATTGAAGTATTTGAAGATGGTGAAAATCCACCAAGTAGTCGGTCATCAGAAAGTGGATTCACTGAGTTTATACAATATCAAGCTGACCGAACTGATGACATTGACAGAGAATTGAGTGAAGGACAGGGGGCAGCTCCCATCCCAATTTGTAGCACATCCTCTGAGACAGAAACAGCCTCCACTGTGGGATCTGAAGAAACCATCATCCATCCCCCTTCCATGGTCCCTGAGGGTGCAGCAACACGAAGTGGAAAGACGGCTCAAAAGACTGCAATGCAGTGCTGTTTGGAATATGTCCAACAGTTTCTCACCAGACTTATCAACCTCTACATTATTCAGAATAACTCTTTTTCTCAGCCTTTGGCTACAGAACATCAAGGGGATCTCAGTCGAGAACAAGCAGAGACTTCTAAATGGGACAGGGATTCACAAGGAGATGTAAAAGAGAGAAACATAAGTAAACAAAGAACTTCAAAAGAATACCTTTCTGCCTTCCTTGCTGCCTGTCAGCTCTTCTTGGAGTGCTCAAGTTTCCCAGTTTACATTGCTGAGGGGAACCACACATCAGAGCTATGTTCTGAAAAGTTAGAGACCGGTAAGAATATCTCTGTTTTTTTGACCTTTCATGTACTCTGCAACTTGCTATTGTTTATATTGTTAACAAGCATTCAGCTGTTACAGCTGTGGTTATTTTTTTTAGCCATTTAATTGGTTATGTGTCATTCTAATTCATACATTTTTTTTGAAAGTGAAATGTCTTAGGGAAATTAATATGTTGATTGTGTGGTTTTTGTGTCACGTATACAATAGAAACTAAAAAGTAATCTGTAGAGAAACATGTTATAGCAGATGCATAGGTCAAACCTCAAAAGGTATTAAATAGAGTTGCTCTGTTTGAAATTAGTCTGTGTGAAATATTTAGTGTGCTGAATTCTGATTGCTTCTCTTTTGTTTCAGACTGCGAGCATGTGCAGCCTCCACAGTGGCTCCAGACTCTGATGAATGCTTGTAGCCAAGCAAGTGATTTCAGTGTCCAGAGTGTTGCTATTTCACTAGTCATGGACCTAGTGGGACTGACTCAGTCTGTGGCCATGGTCATTGGGGAAAACATCAACAGTGTGGAGGCTGCACAACCCTTAAGTCCAAACCAGGGAAGAGTAGCTGTGGTTATTAGACCTCCCCTCACTCAGGGCAATCTGAGGTATATAGCTGAGAAGACTGGATTTTTCAAGGTAAATTCTAAGAAATATGTATGTGACTAAGATAATCACTGCATGTATGGTATTGGACTTAGTTTGCTTAACAGTGATTTTAAAGATGATAACGAGGTGCTTAGTTAAGCACCTGTAATAGTATGCCATATAAAAATGCCATATATGATATGTACTGCTTTCTCCATCATTTCTCCAAATTTTTTGAGTAGGGATAAAGATCAGGATAATGAAAAATTATCCCTATCTTTTTTATGTCATGGAAAATTAAGAAAAATACACAGCACCGAAGCTTTGGAGAAAATTTCAGCTACAGAAGAGGAACATTCACCTGTATAATAGAACTTTCCAATTAGGTGGTTGTGACACTTTTGCTGTACATCAAGTAAAATCTCAGCTCTCCAAGACCCCCATGAAAAGTGTATCTGATTCTTTTTGTTTCTTGTCTCTGATACATAATATTAATCATCCAAAGAAATAGTCTTTTATGTCTGTCACAGCATTTTAGATGGTGTCTTACACAAAGAAAGAACAGCAGATGTTATTTGGATTGTTTACAGCTGAAGCAAGTAGATTTTTTTTTAAAGATTTATTTTTATTATTATTATTATTTTTATTGGAAAGGCGGATATACAGAGAGGAGAGACAGAGAGGAAGATCCTCCGTCCAATGATTCACTCCCCAAGTGAGCGCAACGGCCGATGCTATGCCGGTCCGAAGCCAGGAGCCTCTTCCGGGTCTCCCACGTGGGTGCAGGTTCCCAAAGCTTTGGGCCGTCCTAGACTGCTTTACCGGGCCACAGGCAGGGAGCTGGAAGGGAAGTGGGGCTGCCGGGATTAGAACTGGCGCCCATATGGGATCCTGGGCATGCAAGGCGAGGACCTTTAACCACTGCGCCACCGCGCCGGGCCCAAGCAAGTAGATTCTTAAAGCAGAAAAAAAAATATTTTAAATCTGATTTCAAGTCATTATGGCCCCTCCAGATATGGTCCTCTGCTAGATGAGAGTTGATTTCTACACCATTTTGATGGTGAATCTGCAGTTGCTTATGTTTTAATTAATATTGCCATAGATCAAGTGCTGTTAATACATGTAGCTCCAAAATGCGTATGAACTAGTTTAGAAAAGTCTCAAGTAGTTTGAATATTTGAATTATAAAATGATTTCTCTAATATAAAGTAATAAATATTGAACTGCATTCAGAATGGGATGTGTATCTGATTATGATTATTTTCTAGCATACTTCTCTAAGTTGGTGAAATGGCATGCTTATATGTCTGATGTTTAGGATAAGTATCATTCAAGGGCCTCATAAAAGGAAATACAGGCCTAGGTGACCTAGAGGAGACACATGTAAGGTTGCCATTTTAAGTCTCATCCCATTGCCATGACAAGTGTTAATCTCTTTTGATGTCTGTCAGTCAGAGACCAGGTGTTAGTGTGTAATCTAATAGAAATATTTGTTAAATAACTTTGTACATTTGTGACAAGTATTGTTACATCTTTTTCTGCAGCGTGTAGCTTTGATACTGTGGGATCAGCTGGGAGATGGGACACCTCAGCACCATCAGAAGAGTGTGGAACTATTTTATCAACTGCATAACCTAGTTCCTTCTTCTAGCATATGCGAGGATGTTATAAGTCAGCAGTTAACCCATAAAGATAAGGTAAATCCTTTTCCTCTTACAGTGTGCAACACATACACGCCTTTCAGAACAAAATGTAGGCAAAGGAAATCCTCTAGGAAATTATTCTAGCTAGTATCTGAATAAGAGATAAGAGAGTCTTGTTCAGAGTGATCTTAATATCTTTTAAATAGATGTGTTCTGTTTATAGATGAAATGTCAAAAAGTATATATTCCAAAATTGAATGCCAGATTTGTGTCTTAGTTCCGCATACCAAAATGGGTAATAATGGTTAACTTTGTCACCAGCTGGGTTCTTGGACTCTTTGAGGAAGACTTATTGGCCTCTTATAGAACTGATATAGTTGAAGTAGAATAATGTGCAAGTTACATTTATAAGCTATGGAATGCAAAATTTTGACATTATTTACATTACAAATACTTAAAAATTTTGAATCAATATATTTGAAGTGATACATAGATCAGTTAAGATAGGTGAGTTATGGGGCTAACACTGTGGTATAGTTGACTAATCTTCCACCTTTGATGCCAACATCTACAAATGGGCTCTGTTTCAAGTCCTGGGTGCTGAACTTCTGAACCAGCTCCCTGCTTATGACATGATAAAGCAGTGGAGAATGGCTCAATTTCTTGGATCTCTGCACCCATGTGGGAAACCTGGAAGTGACTACTGGCTCCTGACTTTGGGGAGGTTCAGCTCTGGTTGGTGTGGCCATTTGGGGAGTGAACCAGCGGGTGAAAGATCCTCCTGTCTCTCCTTCTCTCTACAACTGCCTTTCTTAAAAAATATATATCTTTTTTTCTTTAAAGATTTACTTTTTATAGGAAAGGCAGAGTTAGGAAGAAGAAGAGACAAATATCTTCCATCTGCTAGTTTACTCCCCAAGTGGCCACATGGCCGGAGCTGAGCAGATGTGAAGCCAGGAGCATCTTCCATGTCTCCCCCATGGGAGCAAGGTCCCGAGGCTTTGGGCCATCTTCTTCTGCTTTCCCAGGCTTCAAGCAAAGAGTTGGATGGCAAGTGGAGCAGCCAGAACATGAACCAGAGTCCATATGGTATTCCTATGGTTGCAAGATGAAGATTTAGCAACTGAGTCACTGCACAGAGCCCAAAATAAAATCTTGAGGGGAAAAAAAGTGAGTTATGAGTAATTTGAGAAGAAACTGTAAAAGTCATTTTCACTGATCTCTTCAGGGTAAATTCGTTGTGCTGCTGCTCTGTAATATACATGAATTTTATTTAAGAGATTTTAGAAGTATATTGCCCTGTTTTTGTTAAAACTCAAAATACTAGTGAGTTTAAATGGGTCATATTCTAAAGGTATTGTGTTGAGTAAATGAAGGATTTGGTGAAGGGGTAAGGAGTAATAAGAGAAATAAATGTATTCAAAGAAAAATGTTAAAATGGTATTTCTACTTCAATACATTCTTTTAAAATTGGTCAGAAAAAAAAATTTTAATTAGGTCATATTTCAATTTGAAAATTTGTGTTTTACATGAAGTATAATTCAGGACAAATTATGTGCTTGTTTTTACATGTAGAACTTTGTTTTTAAAGAACTTCTATATTCTCAGTAAGGTTATATATTCTTTAAAAATTTACATTTTTTTTTACATGTAGAAAAAAGTTAGTTGATGAACAATCACAGGCTTCATAAGAAAAAGTATGTAGTAAGCCCAAAGAAAAATCGAATACTCCTGTCACAAGCAGTGTGGACAGTTGCAATGTCATTTCTTACGTTTATTGCGTGAGGTTCTAAATGCTAAAGGAAGACTATAACAACTTTCATAAAGTCATCATTTCTACTCAAGTTATATAGTGTTTATTATCTATTACCAAACATTTGTCTTTTGATTTATTTATTTATTTTTATTGAAAAGGCAGATATACAGAGAGGAGGAGAGACAGAGAGGAAGATCTTCCGTCCAATGATTCACTCCCCAAGCAGCCACAACGGCTGGAGCTGTGCCAATCTGAAGCCAAAGCCAGGAGCCAGGAGCTCTTCTGGGTCTCCCACGCGAGTGCAGGGTCCCAAGGCTCTGAACTGTCCTCGACTGCTTTCCCAGGCCACAAGCAGGGAGCTGGATGGGAAGCGGGGCCGCCGGGAATAAAACCGGTGCACATATGGGATCCTGGCATTTGCAAGGAAAGGACTTTAACCACTATGCTATCATGCCAGACCCACATTTGTCTTTCTAAATCACTTCTTTTTATATTATTATATCCATTATTTTAGTCATCCCAAATGTTCTCTTAATATTTTTTTTCCTGCAGAAACTTAAGTGTTTAAATTTTGAGCCAAGTTAATAAGCTTTCTGTGTAATAAAGAATACATTTTACATTTATGTGCTGTTACTGGGAGAAAATAATGCAATTTTGAAATTAAATGTTTAAGGATAAGGTTGAATTTGTGGCACAGCTTTGTCTGCATTCCATACTAGAGTACCTGGTTTCAATTCCAACTCACTTCTGATTCCAGCTTCTGTTAATGTGGATTGTAGGATCTAACTGGTTATTGTTCAGGTAGCTGGGTCCTCCCCACTTACTTGGGAGAGATCTGGTTGGATTCTGGCCCTTCTGCCTTGAGTCTTGCAAAGCCCTAACCATTATTGGCATTTTGGGAGTGGACCAGCAGATGGAACCTTCCTGTCTGTCTCCCTCTGTGTGTGTCTGTGACCTTCAAATAAAGTGAGAAAGGAAACCATTTCCTAGATTCAGGTTATTACAGCATATTCATTATTTTTGTAGCTTTTGCTTCCACTTTTATATAGTAGTCCATAACTGATAACCTAAAGTCTGAATAATTATGAGGCAAAGTTAGATGACATTTTATGTTTTATTTTCTGTTTATATTTCCATTGACAAATAAAACAAAAGCTTATTGCATTGTATTTATGAATAGGTTGACATTAAACATAATACTATTAAACATAATAAAGCTAAATATTTTTATTTTATTAAAATCATTTAATGTCTTCAAGAAACAATAATTCATTCTCCCATTTTTTCCTCAGAAATTAAGGATGGAAGCACATGCGAAGTTTGCTGTTCTTTGGCATCTAACAAGGGATCTCCACATAAATAAATCTTCATCATTTGCCCGTTCATTTGACCGGTTTGTTATAGTTTATGCTCAGTTTTTACAGTCATATCTTAGTATTAACTGTTTCTAAATTATCTGTTCAGTTTTGCAAGAGTCATATAGCAGTTTACAATCTTATTTTCATTTGGAAAAAAATCTTGGCTATATTAAAACATATGACATTCTCACTTAATATTAGACTTTCCTTCGTATCTAGCCATTGCTACTTCCTTTCATCAGATGACCATTTATCAAGTTCCAGTTATTCCAGGCACCATTAACAGTGCTGGAAGTATAGTCAGGGATGCAACCTTTGTTAGTAGATGTTCCCATTTAATCAAACATCACAAAATGTTAGGTGATAAAAGTGTGCTTCTCAAGTCTCAGTCTTCTCCATGAACCAAATTTTCTAAAGCTTATAATGGAAAATACTGACAAACTCCTTTAACTGCAAGGAAATACCATTTATTGGTAGATTCACATATTGTTGTAAGATACCGGTCTTCTCAGTAGAGTTAGCTATTATTCTTAAAGCTCAACTTCAGATCAGATATGTGCTCTGCTTTTCACTATTGCATATGCCGCCATCTTTTCCAGAAGCACTTGCCATTAAACCATGTATTTGACCCTGAAATGAATAGGGCCCTGGGTGGGGCTCTTTTCTAATAACTACCTTTAGATTGGTATCTATCGTTCTACAGGGCAGTAGAATCCCAAAGAGTCAAGCTACTTGGCTGGAGAACAGGCAAGAGATTTGAATCTTGGAGTATTTTCATTCCAAACCATTTTTCCATACCTTTCAAAAAGTCTTTCTCTGAATTAATTTTGACTCATGAAAAAAATGGGAGCAGAGGGCCTGTCACGATAGAATAGTGGCTAAATCCTCACCTTACACACCTGGGATCCCATGTGGGTGGCGGTTTGTGTCCCAGCTGCTCCGCTTCCCATCCAGCTCCCTGCCTGTGGCCTGGGAAAGCAGTTGAGCATGGCCCAAAGCCTTGGGACCCTGTACCCACATGGGAGACCAAGAAGAAGCTCCTGGCTTCGAATTAGCTCAGCTCTGGCTGTTGCAGCCACTTGGAGAATGAGCCGGTGGGCAAAAGATATTTATCTCTGTGTCTCCTTGTCTGTGTATGTCTGACTTTGCAATAAAAATAAATTAATCTTTAAAAAATGGGAGCGGAGGAACATGGACCAGTAGGAATATAGTACTGACATGATGAAAGTTGATGATATGGGGCCCAGTACGATAGCCTAGAGTCTGAAGTCCTTACTTTGCTTGCATTGGAATTGCTCATGCGTGCTGGTTTCTAATTCCAACCCACCTGCTTCCCATCCAGCTCCCTGCTTGTGGCCTGGAAAAGCAGTTGAGGACTGTCTAAAGCCTTGGAACCCTGACAGGAGACCCAGAGGCGACTCATAGCTTCTGGCTTCAGATTGGTGCAGCTCTAGCCATTGTGGCAACTTGGGCAGTGAATCAGCAGACGGAAGATGTTTATGTCTCTCCTCCTCTCTGTGTATCTAACTTTCCAGTAAAAATAAATAAATATTTTTTTAAAAAGTGCATAATATGAACAGGAGTATGTAGCTGAAACAAGACTAATTGAATAAGCTTTTTCTATTCTTTTTTTTTTTTTTAATTGTTACTGGGAAGTCAGATTTACAGAGAAAAGGAAAAACAGAAAAAAATACCTTCCATCCACTTCACTGCCCAAGTGGCCAAAATGGTCGGAGCAGAGGTGATCTAAAGTTAGGAGACAGGAGCCTGCTTTGGGTCTCTCACGTGGATACAGAGTCCCAAGGCTTTGGCCATCCTTGACTGCTCTCACATGCCACAAACAAGAAGCTGGAAGGGAAGCAGAGCAGCTGGGATAGGAACCGCTGCTCATATGGCATCCCACAGCACATGCAAGGCAAGGACTTTAGTCATTAGGCTATTGTGCCAGGCCTACCTTTTTCTACTCTTAAATATTTGTTTTAGCAGTAATATGTGCTTATGAAATTTTGGAAAGACTGTATTCTTTTTAAAGGGATAAAAAAAATTTCCTCCTCTTTTTATTGTGTCTCCTAAGATGAAGATTAGTAAATCTGTGATTAGAATTTACCCAAAAATGTAATTACCTTAAAATATTTAAATATAAGAAACAAAACTTCTAATAATGTTATTTGTAACAAGAGTAGAGTGTTACAATTATAGTAGTAGGTGTTGTTTATTTAATTATTGATGCTCGTTTTTAGGTCACTGTTCATCATGTTAGATAGCCTTACCAGTCTTGATGGGTCTACCAGCTCTGTGGGACAAGCCTGGCTAAATCAAGTCCTACAAAGACATGATATTGCCAGAGTTTTGGAACCATTGCTGTTGCTCCTGCTTCATCCGAAAACCCAGAGGGTTTCAGTGCAACGTGTACAAGCAGAACGTTACTGGAATAAGACGCCCTGTTATCCAGAAGAGAATGACAAGCATTTCATGCAAAAATTTACCTGCAACAATGGTGAATATCACATGGAAGTAGGACACCTTTATTTAGAGCTAAAATAAAATGAGAAGTGAATACAACAGAGATTGGTGAGAGAATTGCATGTGAGATTTTTTTCTCCGTAGACTTATTTTCTCCCTACCTCCTGGTTTAGCAGTGCCACATGAGCCCTGCCAGGAGACACTTGGATCAGTGACCATTCTGGAACATTTTGATCTTTTTTATCACATGGCCACAGCTCTGGCACATTCTGCATTTTTAATAGAAATATGCTGAGCTTCTTTTGTATTCCTGGTCCTGCCAAGGCTTAGTAGCTACTTGACTATGAATTTGTAGTAAGCCTGTAGTATATGCTTTATATTTGATGAATCATTTCCCTCATCTATGAAATGGGAATATCAGATGTTGTGCTTTATGACATACTTAGTGTGGAAAAAACATATAATGTGTCTTTGATTAATATTCAGTGTTCTTACACCACAAAATCCATACTTTATGCACTGTTCCTAATGTCCTTTACACACTGATAGTGATCACATAGATTAGTTGATGATACTTTAAGGACAAGAAATCTCGTTTATAACTCTTGACCCCAGTGAGGTCAGTAATAAGTAACAGTAAGCATGCTGCTGATAGTTAGAAGATGTTGGATTTCTTAAAATCCCATGAATGGTAAACAGTGAAACTACGACCAAACCTTGTCCTAGTCAGTTTGTAATCTTAGTTGCTCTCTTTAGATTCCTACACACAGCTTGCTTTCCACGAACTTGCTGTATAATCTGCTGCTTTCCAGAACATCTTTGTATTTTACCTGCCTTAGTCTCTTCCTGCCTGCTGAATTCTCACCTCTCAGCTTATCCTTAAACCTCACCTGTGTTTTCATACTTTTGCTGAGTTTGATAACATTTCATTAGTATTACTAATGTGATACTAAGCTTCCCACTTTTTCTAAAACAACTCTATCAACATGTTATGCTTCCAGAAAAGTACAGAATTGTACTCCTGCACTAATCGAAACTAATACAGGAGCACTGATATCTCTTCATTCTCAACTCGCTGTTGAGAGCCAGTACTTCACACTAGATAATTAATAAACACTTGTTAACTTTTATTAAAGTTCTACATTTGACTGCGTAGAAGATTTTTACTTCAAGGGAATGCCATTGTGATACAACAGGTTAAGCCACCACTATAATGCCAGCATCTTATACGGACATCAGTTTGTGTCTAGCTGCTCTACATTCAATCCAGCTCATTGTAATGTACCTAAAAAATGTCAGAAAATGACCCAAGTCCTTGGGCCCCTGCATCCAACTGGGAGAACAGGATGAAGCTCCTGATCTTAGCTTCAGCTTGGCAATTTGGGAAATGAACTAGCAGATGAAAGAGATCTCTTTCTCTCTCGCATGCACAACGTGTTCTCATTGTCTGTGTTTCTACTCACTCTCTAACTTGGCCTTTGAAATACGAAGTTTACCAAAACTTAAATAAAAAAGACACATTTATTTGGTACTGAAGATGTTGAAATCTGTACATACATTTTACATAATATACTCTGATCAAAGACCTTTTTTTATTGAAGACTTTGCATGTTTATGGATTTCACCACTTTTGCACCAAAATACTTTAAATTCCATGTTCTACAAATTCTTGAAAGTTTCCTTGTACTAAACTATTTAAATCCTTATACTTTACTTTTAAAAAGCATGTATAGTTTGGGGAAAAGAACATGTATTGGTTTATGTACTGTCCTGTTTAATTAAATCATAAATCTCCTCTTGAGTTGTCATTAAAACTAAATCTTATTTTATAACTTAAAAGGTCTAACTAATGATAAAATATGAAGCAATGTTAATGGGGGAAATATAGAAATTTAATCATTAAATGTTGTAAATGTAATCTGTGTTGCTGAATTTCAATTATTTTAATATTTTTTACTTAACCTCTTCTGCTGTTTTCCTCATGTGCCAGTAAGCCAAGTACAACTCCTCACATCAAGAGGAAATGGAGAAAAGCCACTTACCATGGATGAAATAGAGAATTTCAGTCTCACTGTTAACCCACTGAGTGACCGACTTTCCCTGCTAAGTACCAGCAGTGAGACAATTCCAATGGTTGTTTCTGATTTTGATCTTCCAGACCAACAGATAGAAATACTCCAGAGTTCTGACTCTGGATGCTCACAGTCCTCTGCTGGGGACAACCTGAGTTACGAAGTTGATCCTGAAAATCCAGAGAATGTGAATGTCCAAGAAGATTCTCTAGTGCCAAAGGCTGACTCTCCTGATGATGATGTTCAACAGGTTGTGTTTGACCTGATATGTAAAGTTGTGAGTGGCATTGAAGCAGAATCGGCATCAGTTACATCTGAATTAGAAATTGAAGCTCTTCCCTCAAAGGACAGTGATTTAGAGCCAGAAGAGGAGGCTATTGAAAGTGAAGATCAGTCCACTCAGCAGAGTCAGAGTGCTTTGCTGAGTAATGAAAGTCCTCATTTTCTGTCCGTGTCTGCAGAAGGAAGCAAAGAGTGTGCGGTAAATGGGATTTCCAGGAATAGCTCCTCACCTTGCATTTCAGGAAGCACACAAACTCTCCAAGATGCTGCATTTGCTTGTACGGAAACCAAGTCTAGACAGAGGAGTCACAGCAGTATTCAGTTTAGTTTCAGAGAAAAAACATCAGACAAAGTGTCAGAGAAGGAAACAATTGTTAAGGAGTCAGGTAAACAACCAGGAGCAAAACCCAAAGTAAAACTTGCCAGAAAGAAAGAGGATGATAAGAAAAAAACTTCAAATGAGAAACTGAAACAAGCCAGTGTGTTCTTTAGCGATGGTCTGGATTTAGAAAACTGGTATAGCTGTGGAGAGGGAGAAATCTCTGAAATTGAAAGTGACATGGGTTCTCCAGGATCTCGCAAATCTCCCAATTTCAACATCCATCCTCTCTATCAGCATGTGCTCCTGTACCTCCAATTGTACGATTCATCCAGGACTCTATACGCTTTCTCTGCCATCAAAGCCATCTTGAAAACCAACCCAATTGCTTTTGTAAATGCCATTTCAACCACTAGTGTAAATAATGCGTATACTCCTCAGTTGTCCCTGCTTCAGAACCTGTTGGCCAGACACAGAATTTCTGTAATGGGCAAAGATTTTTATAGTCACATTCCAATGGACTCAAATCATAACTTCCGGAGTTCAATGTATATAGAAATTCTTATTTCCCTTTGTTTATATTACATGCGTAGTCATTACCCAACGCATGTCAAGGTCACTGCACAAGACTTAATAGGCAATCGAAACATGCAGATGATGAGCATAGAAATTTTGACTCTGCTTTTTACTGAACTAGCGAAAGTAATAGAAAGCTCAGCAAAGGGTTTCCCTAGTTTTATCTCTGACATGTTATCAAAGTGCAAAGTTCAAAAAGTGATTCTTCATTGTTTGCTATCATCTATCTTTAGTGCACAAAAATGGCATAGTGAAAAAATGGCAGGTAAAAACATAATTGCTGTAGAAGAAGGCTTCTCAGAGGATAGCCTTATCAATTTCTCAGAGGATGAATTTGACAGTGGCAGCACACTCCAATCACAACTTCTTAGAGTACTTCAGAAGTTGATTGTTTTAGAGCATCGGGTAATGACTGTTCCTGAAGAAAATGAAACAGCTTTTGATTTTGTTGTATCTGACCTGGAACATATAAACCCCCATCAGCCCATGACTTCTCTTCAGTATTTACATGCTCAGCCAATCACATGTCAAGGCATGTTTCTTTGTGCAGTAATACGAGCTTTGCATCAACACTGCGCATGCAAGATGCACCCACAGTGGATTGGTTTAATCACATCTACTCTGCCTTACATGGGAAAAGTTTTACAGAGAGTGGTTGTTTCTGTAACACTTCAACTGTGCAGAAATTTGGATAATCTAGTTCAGCAGTACAAATACGAAACGGGATTATCCGACAGTAGGTAAGTTAACTTTACCTCTTTAATATTTGTTATTTTTATTGGGAAGATTCACAGAGAAAAAGCTCTTCTGTCCATTGGCTCACTCCCCAAGTTGCCACAACGGTCGTAACTGAGCCAGTTCGAAGCCAGGAACCTCTTCCAGGTCTCCCATACGGGTGCAGGGTCCCAAGGCTTTGAGCTATCCTCCGTTTTCCTAGGCCACAAGCAGAGAGCTAGGCGGGATGTGGAGTTGCTGCAATTAAAACCAGTGCCCATATGGGATCCCAGAGCATGCAAGGCAGGAACAGGCACTAAGCTCTGGCTCCAGGCCCCCTTACCTCTGTTTTTAACATTTTCACACCTGATATACCCAAAAGTTGCAATTTGAGTGAATTAGTGCTCTTAAAAACCCTGGAATGTGAAATGAAGGAATATTGAAGCTGTTCCTTTCATTTTCTCCACAAGGGCTGGAATTAATGTTGATAGTAAACTTGACTGATCTGAAAAAAGTCATAGGATACTTAGCAAAGGATTTTTTCTAATATTTTATCAAAGTACAAATTTCAGACTGAAATTTATGAATGGTTCTCATATTTTATTTCATGTTTTAGATTTCTTTGGTGGCAAATTATGTGTCTCCAGGCTATGTGCTATTTTTCCTGGAAAAATTAGCCAAAGATGTGATAGTTACTACCTGTAATGTAAACAAGTCACCTATATTGTTCAATAATAATAAGCCTACCATTCCCCAGGAATAGGGATCCTTTAGCTAAATTTGCCCATCTTATGTATAATTCTTTGGCAAAAATAAATCTAATAATTTAGACAACTCATTTATAGATTAGAAAAAGTTGTTTATCCTGTTACTCATTTTATTAATGTAATATTTATTGAGCATCTATTGTGTGCCTGCTAGGTACTGGATATATAGTATTGATAAAATATGAATACTATTTTTACAGAATATTTATCCAATGCATGCATTTTTATTTCAGGCCTCTGTGGATGGCATCAATTATTCCACCAGATTTGATTCTTACTGTTCTAGAAGGGATCACAGCCATTATCCATTACTGTTTGTTGAATCCAACTACACAATACCACCAAGTAAGACTGTGTAGATATTTGACTTCTGTGGAAACTTCTGTTTGTAACAATACCATTTGTAGCACTCATTATCTTTCCTGCTCCCCATTTTAATAGCTGTTGGTCAGTGTAGATCAGAAGCACCTATTTGAAGCACGCAGTGGAATCCTTTCCATCCTTCACATGATCATGTCCTCCGTGACGTTGCTGTGGAGCATACTGCATCAGGCCGATGCGTCGGAGAAGATGGCTGTTGCCGCCTCTGCATCTGTTACCACTATTAACCTTGGAGCCACAAAGGTTGGACAATTCCTGTTTAATCTGTGGCACTCGGGGGTATTTTAGGGCTTAGCTGATCATCTTTTTCAGAATATATGATTAATTTGGTAGTCTTTATTCTGCGTTGGTGAAAGTAATTCATTATTAAATTATTTTAACGATTTTGTTGAAAAACAAATTCCAGCTTTTTTTAGTAAAGTAGTAGATCTATAAGCTGTCACATTCCAATTTTCAAACGTGCCTCTCACCTCAGAAAGATTCCTCAGACCTGTTTTCACTCACTGCTGTTTCTATCCCTAACACAAATCAATTGCTAATCTGTTTTCTCTCCAGAGTTGCTTTTTCTGGTTAAATAATATAAATAGAATAATGCCATAATCCACCTTAGTGTGTACCTTCTTTTCATGTGACTTACATTTTTAGGGTTCATTCTGCATGCTTTAACTTGTTCTTTTTTCAAGAGATTTTAATTTTCTATTTGTAATATCTAAAGTCTTACTAAAAACAATTTACAATTACACAAATATTTAAATGTTGCAGTTTTTGACCTAGCAATGTCTTTAGGAATAAGCCTTAAGGTAATCATAGATAGGCAAAGATTTTTATTACAAATAAATGCCAACTTTAATACAAGGTTTTTATTACATCAAATGAAAGATGCTAAGCAATAAGTAAGAAAGTGGTTAAATAATTCTTTCAGTGTTGATGTATAGCTAATGGTTATTCACATCTTTGAAGAAGCCTGCCACATGGAAACATGCTTATAAATTCAGTGAAAAAGAGATGTTATATGATTGAAAAATGTTTTCAGTTATGAAAAAATAATTTTATCTGCTGAAAAAGGAATAATAAACAGTAACAGTGACTATCATGATAAGCTTAATGATCAGTCAAAAATTTTTTCTTGTTGGTATTCAGTTTTTCCTTATATTTTCAACATTACATGCATGATTAAAAAATCATGTTAGACTTACAGCCTTCAATAACCTAATCTTATTCCTATATCTGATTGCCTGTCTCTGGGATTCACTCCTGTGTAATTAAGGGAAGTGGTCCACTTGGACCATTTCTCCTACGTACTGAGATTTGTTTGAAACTCTGTAATGTTTCGTTTTATTTAAATGTAAATTGGAAGGGGTTTTTAATCTCTACCGATTTTTAATTAATATATCAAATAATCAGTTGGATTTCATACGTTTTTGTCATAAAGAGTTGATTTGCATTTAAGTGATTAGAAGTTTTTATAGTTTCTTTGCTTTGTAGAATTTAGTATACACATTGTAGTTCCAATACTATTAAAGATTGTTGTTTTTTTAAAGTAATGGAAAGTAGAAATATTGAACAACTATGCAGAAAAAAGTGCATCCTAGTTATTAATGTCTTCCTATGTTTTAATTGTACCTGTCATTTGCTTCAATTGTTTCAGAACTTGAGACAGCAGATCCTTAAATTATTGGGCCCCATTTCAATGAACCATGGTGTACACTTTATGGCTGCTGTTGCATTTGTGTGGAATGAAAGAAGACACAACAAAACTGCTATTCGGACCAAGGTATATATTAGCCATTTGTGTTTTCTTCTGATTGTTACACACTAATTTTCAACTCTCATGGGTTTCAGTCGTGCTGAGGTAGATTGGAAGATAAAGAGCAAAATTGTGTCTCACTCAAAATTGTAAGACTTTCTGACAGAAACGCTAGAGCTTTTGATGAAACAGAGTTCTTAGGTCATAATTCTGGATCTAACCCATTTCACAAGGCATTTACAACTGTATAATGCCTTAAAAAAAAAAAAAAAACTACCATGGGCTCAGCATGGTGGCCTAGTAGCTAAAGTCCTCACTTTGAATGCACTGGGATCGCATATGTGTGCCAGTTCTAATCCCAGCAGCCCCACTTCCCCTCCCAGCTCCCTGCTTGTGGCCTGGGAAAGCAGTTGAGCATGGCCCAAAGCTTTGGGACCCTGCATCAACATGGGAGACATGAAGGAGGTTCTAGCCTCCTGGCTCCAGATCGCCACAGCTCTGGCCATTGAGGTCACTTGGAGAGTGAATCATCGGAAGGATGATCTTCTTCTCTGTGTCTCCTGCTCTGTATATCTGACTTTCCAATAAAAATAAATCTTAAAAAAAAAAAACCAATAAAGTCACCATCTCTAAAGGCTTCAAATGTGTAGCTCCACATAGGAGTAATAAACCAAGGGTGAAGATGTTGGAGATCCAACAAATTGAGATTCCAACACAGAAAAAGAGTAAAGGTAATCTCTGGTGTGGTAGTAACAGGAGAGTTGTCAGTGTGGCATGAGTAACCAGCCTGAGAGTCCCAGTTCATGGTAGAACAGAAAGATGTCTGACAGAATTGCTGACAAGTAATTTTAAGATGACAAGCACAAGGTTAATTATGTGAAGGATTTGACTATATATAATTAGAGGGGATTTACGGTGTAAGGGCACTTAGGGATGATGCTAATAAAAAGAAAATACAGCAAACTGAAACAATTTTAACTCTAGCCGAAACAGAAATTTGTGTAAGAAAAGAAGTGGATTAGCTAGCATTGTATTTAGAACAGCTTAATCTGATGCTTGCTATGCTGGCTTCCCATGATGACGTACCAGTTTGAATCTAGGCTGTTCTTTTTTCAATCCAGCTCCTTGCTAATGCTCCTTGAAAAGCAATAGAAGATGGCCCATGTTCTTGAGGCCCGGCTACTAACCTGAGGTTCCTGGCTTGAGCCTTGACTTGTCACAACCATTTGGGCCATTTAGGGAGTTAACTGACAGGTGGACAATATCTCTCTGTACTTCCATGTCTCTTTTTGTCACTCTTTCAAATAAAGTCTTTTAAAAAGATATTGAAATAGCACAGTATATAACAGTCATTTGAATATGAGGTGCTAATTTATATAAAATTGTAATACAACTGTGACTGCAGGAAACAGAGAACAAGTATAAGATGGCTAAATCTTTTTAAGTTGGAAAGCAATAGGTAACATTTACAATTGTGGAATTGGGGGTCAGCATTGTGGTGTGACAAGAACTGCTACCTGTATCACCACTGTTCTTTGTGAGTGTTGATTTAAGACTAACCTGATGCACTTCCCTCACAGCTGCTCACGGTTACTCCTAGAGCAGCATGCAAGATGGCATAATTACTTGGGCCCCTGCCCGTACCTGGGATACCAGGGAAAGCTTTATATTCCGTGCTTCAGCCTGGTTCAGCCCTGACCACTGTGGCCATTTGGAAAGAGAGTCAGCAGAGGAAGACAATCTTCCTTTGTCTCTCCCTCTCTGTGAAAAACTCTACTTTTTAAATAAATAAATCCTTCTTTAAAAAATTGAAGATTTGCCAAAGAAAAAAAATATTTACAAGTAATAAAAAGAAATAAAAGTGTTGACTATGACTGTTTCTGATCAAAGGAGATATACTACTATTTTTTTTGTTGTAATTTTGTCCTTTTTGCTTTTTAGAAATGTTGCATGTAAAATTGATTTTAAAAAATGTCAATTTTACCTAGTATAAGGACTTTAAGAATGAGTCTTAAAATAGTATCTTAGGGGATACTGTGGTTGTATATTATGCCAATCTAACACCTGCAGTACTAGTGTGCTCATGTCCTGGCTGCTCTACTTCTCATCCAGCTCCCTGTTAATGGTCTGGGAAAACAGCAGAGAATGGCCCAAATCCTTGGGCCCCTGTACCCATGTGAGAGACCTGAAGGGCTGCTGGCTCTCAGTTTTGCACCAGCAAGCTCTGGCCATTGCAGCCATTTGAGGAGTGAATCAGCACATGAAAGATTTCATTGTCCCCCTCTCTCTGTCCTTTGTAACACTTTCAGGTAAAATAAATATTTTCAAAAGTATCTTAATTCTGTGATTTCCCTTAAAAGACTTAACATACACACATATGTACATAAGTAAAATAATATGTATCACCCAGGTGATTCCTGCAGCCAGTGAGGAACAGCTCTTATTGGTCGAACTAGTTCGTTCCATCAGTGTCATGCGAGCAGATACTGTTATCCAGACTGTGAAGGAAGTTTTAAAGCAGCCTCCAGCCATAGTCAAGGACAAGGTAAGAAAAACATTTTCATTTTCTTTTATTTATAGGTCAGTTTCAGAAGTGATGCTGATCAATAAGACATTTTCCTGTAAGGTAGTGTCCTTGTAACTATAGTGCAGATTGCAGCAGGGACTGCAAGCGGTCCTCACATTGCTTTAAGAAAATGGTTACAGGTATCTCCATCAACCCGGGGCATGCTGTTTTTTTCTGTAAGGAGTGAGGAACAGTCTGTTACTCTTTTTTTGTTCTAAGATACTTCAAAGGCAGTCAGAATCTCTAACCAAATAGAAACATTTACTCCTCATTTAAAGATAAAACAAAGAAACCGTGGTTCACTGTTTACTCAGTTGTTGCCAGTTTTCAAAGCTTCTGTATTTTCGTTTCCTGAATGACACTTTCAGTTCTTTAAACTTCTTGTTTTGCCACAATGGTGATTACTGTGAATGTCATTTTTCCCTATGTCCAATACTATGCTTTATAAGGGCTGCAGATTATGAGCACCATAGCTTCTTCATTCACATTGTTTTGATCTAATTAGGCAAATAAAATTCTACCAGTTAGTGAAATTATTTACCTATGTTTCTGCAACAGTCCCAAGAGGCCAAGTTGTCTTACAATGTATTTACCAACTGCAAGCCTGAAGACTTCAGCTACTGAACATGCTGGAATTCTTTTTTATCTTTCCTTAAACTGACAAAGGAAATAAGCTGTTTGTCCTGGTGAATAGCTTTTATTACCTTATTACCTTATTAATACTTTGCAGACTACAGATTTTGCTGAAACGAAAGTTCTTATTCCCATTAAAATGCTCATGAAAGCTCAGTTGGCATGGTGCCTTGAGTATCCATTTTTGCCACAAATTAGGCGATGAATGAGGTTTCAGGAAACAGGTTACACCCCAACATAGTCTGATAACTTGGACTTAAGTTCTAGCTCTGTTCGACACTTGATTTTTATTTTGTGTAGTAAATAGGAATAGCAGTTTCAGAAATTAGTGTCAGTGGACATCAGGATGATTCGTTTACTAACTTGCACAGTATGAGCACTTTCTATTATTTACAAAGTTTTATGCTTTATGTAATAGCCACATTTTAAACTATCAAGAATTGATCTAAATCTGAACGAACTGTACTAATTTAAACAGACTCATGTACACATTTAATAAAAATGAACTTGATTCTGGTAGCATCAAGCATTTAAGAGACTTTGAAGTAGCCAATTAAAGAGTAAATGCATCATTTAGCATTGATATGTTGGGGGAAAATTAAGAACTTTCTGTTACTTCCATCTGTTTTCAGGTTTTAGATAACCTTGTGCAAGTTTTCCCTATTAAGAAGAAGAGGCAGATGCGTGTTTTGTTTTGTTTTGATTTCAAATGACAAAATAGTATTTCATTTGGTATTTTTTTTAAGTTCCTTACTAAAAATATAGGATAGTTGCAGCAATGAAAAAGCAAAGGCAGCTTTTTTCCTTCACTATAAAATTGATTTCTTTTGTTTATAGAAACATCTTTCTTTGGAAGTCTGCATGCTTCAGTTTTTCTATGCTTATATTCAAAGGTAAGATTATTGATGTGGATCTCTCCTTACTGCATTAGAAATGTGTAAAAGTTAGGAAATACAGGAACAAAGGCAACTGAATCCTTTCAGAAAGTTAACACAATTCTTCCTAAAACTAAAATCCTAGAAACGGAAAAACATTGTTTTCTAGCAATGTTAATACAAGTGAGGAGTCTATTAATGACTAAGTCTTACAAATCACACACCTTCCCAAAAACCCAACACTACTGAAGACACATGGGTGTCAAAACACTGAGTTATAAGAAGTCATATACTTAAATATAAATGATAAGTACCTAATCTTAAAAATGTTTAATGTCACTGAACCCTTTACTGAAGATTAGGCACTCCAGTGTTTCTTCTTAAAAAAAAATAGTATGAAATGTTTGATATTCTGTTTCATGTTTATCTGACTGCTAGTGAATTTGAGTTTTGATAAACTTCTTGAAAACCTGAATCTTTATCCTCCATTGCATGGATAATTCCCATTTTAATGAACAAATGTGGCATCTGTTAGTGATTTATGACACACTCATAAAGTTACTTAATGTATTAGTTTTTGCTTAGAGTACAAGTTGCCTGAAACTTTAGTTTAGATACAGAAAAGTGTTAAGATTGAAATAATGTAAGCTTAATTTCTTTTTAAGTAAAAGACTGATGTTTAGGAGATAGATTGACAGCCCTTCCTCTGAGACAGAGACTTATAGGTGAAGAAAAAATAACCAATATAAGAAGGAAATAGACCAGGGTAGGGAGTAGCCAACTATGTCAGCAGTTAATCTGAGAATAATTTTATTTCTCTTCTACTTTTGAGAATTCTTGTGATAAATGGATTTTCTTTAGAAAAATTGCTGGGCTATGAAATTACACTTGAATATTTTAAGTGTGTTTGGTATCCTTCTTGCATAGTAGTAGAAAATGTAAAGCTGTTAATATTTTCTATCTTAGCCTATAAATATTTGGGAATATTTCGGGGAAACTAATAGAAATATGTGTCCAAGACTTGGAAAATATAAAGCAAGTTAAAGTTTACTGTGACTTTTACATTTACAGAGTGTATTTATTTTGCAGAATTCCAGTGCCTAATTTAGTGGATAGCTGGACATCACTGTTGATACTTCTTAAAGACTCTATACAACTGAGTCTTCCAGCTCCGGGGCAGTTTCTTATACTTGGGTAAGCAATTTGATTTGAAAATATTATTTTGAATTAAAGGCTAGTGTTGAATGTCCTAATTGCTGAGTAAGATCTGTTTAGGGTGACCCTGTGATCTTTACTTTGCCATGGGATTCTCAAAGTACAGAACTGTCTGTGTAAAGCCAGGGAGAAAGGAAGGGGTTATAAAGGGAGGGAACAATGAGTTTTTATATATAAGTATAATAACTGTGCTCATTGTAAACTACTATTGCAGTAGTTACTTTTTAGTAGAACCAAAGGATCAAAAGAGTAAGGGTTGAGTTTCATGATAAAGGCAGATTTCTAAGAGGAAGGGTATTTGAGCTGATCTCCTAACATAAACAGGCTTGGACAAATAATTGACTTAATCTCTTGATTTATATTGATAACTTGTATAATTAATTTCATAACATGCATGTCACCCTTACCTTCCTCCAGGAACCATGATGTCACAGACATCATGTGTTTTCTGCTCAACATTATTCTTGGTTCGTGTTAGGCCACTAATAAATAGTTCTTCAGTCAGAAAGTGCAGGAGTAAACAGGTGGGAGAAGATGCATTGTGACAAGGTACATTGTCTTGTTCTATGGTAATGGACAAGTCTCTGCAGTGCTGAATAATAAGAGTAGGTGAAAAGGAAGATGAAAACTCAGGGGAAAGACCTTCAGTAGGCAAAATAATGGCATATTTTGTGTTAGTAGGCTAGATTAGAGAGGACCACGGCTAAGCTGCTAGTGCTATTTAAGGAGAAGATATGCCAAGTGTAACAGAATAAAGAAGAAAAAGGCTGTCTGAATAGCCGGGAAAGCACATAGCAGAAAATTGGAAAGCTGCATATCATTCAATGTTCTAGAAGCAAAGGATGGTTAACATTTTTGGAGAAGTTAAAGCGAAAAATAATATATGAGATTATGTTTGTTGAAAACTTGGAGAGGCATTGGTGATTGAAGAGAGGAATTTGGCAAGGTAGTTAGTAGGCATGCAGAATATAAATGTGAGAAGGTAAAGCTGGATTGATTTTGAAGTAGTTTGATCATGAGAAGAAATGACTAGGTAGCAGGAGGGAACATGGCTTGTAAGTTGTCATTCTTCGAAAGGAATGCCTGAAAATAACAGCAAAGACCCTGAAGTTGAATTTGGTGTGGCTCAAAATTATTTCACTTGTTGAACACAATGTTTAGCATCTTCAATATGAAATGTGATAATATCTACCCTATAAAAACTATAAATATTGGGTAACTTAATAGTCATTAAATTCTTATAATAGTGCTTAGATGTTAATTTTCCAAATGAAGAATAAAAAAGATTCTAGAGAGAAGGGGACTTATTCATGGCAACAGGTTTAAGACAATTGGGAGGCAATGAGGACAGGAAATTGCTGAAAGCAAGAAAATGTGCATTAAGACTGCTAGTCAGTCTTTGAACGAGCAGTATTGAAATCACCTGAAAACTTACTAAAAATGTAGAATCTCGGGCTCAACAGAATCACACTTTTATTAAGGTCTCCAGGTGACTTGTGCATCCAATAAAGTTTTCAAAGAACTACTGAGAATGTAAGGATAGAGTATAAACTTTTTCTCTATACTTTTATATTTGGTTTGGATAGTGCAATAGTGTCATTAATATGCAGCAACACTCAATATGTTACCTGAATGGATATAAAACTATCCAAATGCAGAGACCTTTGGCAACTTATTCAACTTTTGTAGCAGGGACAGTTATTTAAGGACTTTTATCCTTATTCTTGAGAAGCTAATAGGTTCAGGTTGGCAACCAACGGTCTAGAAAATTTTGCAGTGAGAGAAAGGGAAGGAGACGATTCTTCAGTAAGGTAATCACAAGTTTGTTGGTAAATGTGGGATTCTAGTCTTTCCAGGGGGCAGAGAAGAAATAGTGGGATAGTGGTGACAGCTTGAGGAGGATGGAGCAGCATATAGTAGCTGAAAGATACTAAACATAGGAAGCTAAAGATCCTGCGCAAGACCACTGACGCTCACTGGACTCTGTTTTGCTCTTATCTAAAATAAGAGCTGTGAGAGTGCAGACAGCAGGAGACTCTGAACTCCTGGATCAGAGACTCTTATGGTCACTAATATTCATGATTTGCAGTGATGAGAGTTAAGTGCAGAAGCTGGAATCAAAGCATTGTTGAAAATTTATGCTGCTTCTGTTCTCAAGTTCCGATCTTCACCTGTTTAACACTGGGCATGCAAAAACAACAAAAACTTCTCAAAGGCCATGAGTAACATCTGCCCTGCCTAACTCTGAGTTGTATAAAGTTCTTTGTATTTTCACCAGATAATCCTGCCGATTTCACTGAAAAATTAAGACCATTTATTGTCTTTTCACATATTTTTTACTTGCGTCTACCCTGTAAGACTGTTCTGTTTCATCACTTTCCTTTCTTCCTTTCTCTATTCTCAGATAATGAAGGACCATACCTCCTTTTCAATAAGTGTGTATTATGATTCATATGAAAATCAAGGCTGAAAATTTTCATATATACTGGAAACAAATTCCCTTTTTAAAAATTTGATTGTTTTATCACCAGCCATCCTACTGATCCTCTAAAATTTCCTAAATGTAAAACTAAAATTGATATAAAGGTTGCTCTTTGATAATAGTTACACAAATCATTTATCTTTAAGAAAACCAAGTCATTCCAAATCAAAGATGGACTCCCAATGAAACTGTTAAATGTATCTTGACAATAGGATGCTGGACTGTCAACCATTGTTTATGCCAACAATGTCATGATACACTTTAAATCCTAGAATGATGGGGCTTCTGACTCTTGGTGAAGGACTATACTATTTTAATGATATAAGAGAAAACTGTTGGGGGTGAATATTGGAAAGGGGGAGGGGAAATCCTGAGCCTATGGAACTGTATCATGAAAAATTAAAAATTAAAAAAAAACATCAAAGTAAATGTTGAGTAGACTCTTAGCAATTTGTAAGAATGGACATTTTTTCTTTATGAAATATTTTTAATCTATTATATTTGTAGCACCAAGTTATTTTAAATTTTAAAGCAGATTTTTACACTTTGATACATGAAACACATAGAAAAATACAGTACACACTTGACATGTACAAAAGATGTAAGATTCAAACTTGTTAACTATTAAATCACAAAAACAAATTAGGAAAAATTATTGGTGTTTTGTATGGACACTGCCTAATCACCATACTTTTATCTATGTAAAGGTGACTGCTGTCTATCACGATGGATAGATTTTGCCCTGTTTTTGAACTATAGTGTATATAAATTTTATTGTCTGAATTTGTTTGCTCAACATATATTTACTAGGTTCATCCCTGTAATTCACATAGCTACAGTTTATTTTCATTGCTCTCTACTATTTCATTGTATGAATATGCCACAACTTCTCTGCCATTCCTGGACATTGGTGTTCCTTTTGGTTGTTGGCTCATACAAATGATGCTGCTGTGACCATCCTGTACTTGCTTTCTCATGTACATGTAAATGGTTTTCAGTTGGGTCACACAATATGCACCTCTTTTCATTAAATATTTAAAGTAGCAATTGAGGCCACATGCCACTTACTGTGAGAATTTGCAGCATTTTTCTTTAAACTAATATTTTTTTGCCCCCCCCCTTTTTTTTAGGGTTCTGAACGAGTTTATAATGAAAAACCCAACTTTGGAAAATAAAAAAGACCAAAGAGACCTTCAGGTAAAGTTTCCTGATTTGACTGCTGTTGCCACTCATGCCCTTACCCTGAAAATAGAAGAATCAAAACAATCTGTTTTTAGAAACACACTGTGAAAGTTACTACCAAGCTGCTTGTTTGTGTGTGTGTACAGAGCTAGCAATTCCTTGTTTCTTTAGGATGTGACTCATAAAATAGTGGATGCAATTGGTGCGATTGCTGGTTCCTCTCTGGAACAGACAACATGGCTGCGACGAAATCTTGAAGTTAAACCTTCTCCCAAAATAATAGTGGATGGCACCAATTTGGAATCTGATGTTGAAGGTATTGTTCCTAAAACATTTTGGCATGTATTCACTAAGAAGTCATTGCAACAAGCATTGTAAAAATTTCATGTGGAGTAAGTAGCACTTTTTTTTTCAGTAGGAAGACTTCTGCCTATATTTTTACATGTCTTGTCTCTTTTATCTAGATATGTTATCACCTGCAATGGAAACTTCAAATATAACTCCTTCTGTGTATAGTGTCCATGCATTGACATTACTCTCAGAGGTAAATAGTATCAAGTTTTTTCACATGAACTTTCAACTAAGCAGTTTCAGAACTAAATATTGTCAGGTAATTCAGATAGGAGCATTTTAATTTGTAAAACCATTTTTGTAATTCTGGAGATCACCATATAAAGTTCTGACCTTGTCAGATTTGAATAGTTTGTTAAACATTAAATCTTGCTACTCTCTCCTCATACTACAAATATATTTTTGAGAAGTGCTTTTCATGCCACGATGGTGGGGAGAAGTAGAACTTCTATTATGCCTCTAACTACAAAGTATTGTATAACTTACCCAACATTTTTTTGTGTGTGTCTTTTTTATTATTTTTTTGACAATCTTTACATATCTAAATAGGGTAAAAAGGTTCAAGGGCTATAGGAAAGTGGGTAAGACTATTATTTCCGTATTGTTTCCTTCTTGTTTAAAGGGGGGTATTAAGGGAGAAGGCCCACCCATTTTCCCACCCTCCCCAGGTCCTGCATGTAGGGTATGCTCTGAGGTTCTTACTCAGGTGGTTTTGATAGTTCACTAGTTATGAATCACTGCCAATCATGCCACTCCAAGCACTATGAGGTCTTTGAAGAATCCACCAATTGACACAGTCCATCATAGAGTCTCCATTTGCCCTGTATTTCACTGCCAACTTATACCTGAGGTGGTTGTTTGACCTGTTCTGTCTTCTGTTTATTCTTGGTTAGGATTCTGAGTCCAGTATTTTGATTGGGGAGATCTCCAAAGAAATGTTGAGGTGATCCCAGAACAGAATCTTGCATGTACTAGCAAGTACAGGGGCCGGCACAGTCCATTGCCCTGATCAGCTGGTGGTTGTGATTACTGGGTTGGTTCTGTTTTCAGCCTCAAATTCTACTGGAACCAATGGGTGTTGCAATCCAGCCAGGTTCTGCCCAGCTCATACTTGGCCCTCACATAAACCAGTGGGAGCTGCAGCCTGGTTGGAGCGACCCACAATAACCCACACCAGGCCCGCCCCCTACCCTGGTTTGCCAGTATGTGTAGCAGTAGTCCAGTCTGTTACACACCCCATTCCACCCCAGCCCCTGTCCTAGTTTTCATGCCCTCCCATGGAAGTTGTAACCCAAGAGGGAGGAGCCCACTATTTCCCTACTGGCCTCTCCCACTCCCAAATTATGCACTCTCCAGGTGGTTCTGCAGTTTAAATTGACAGATTAGCCCCCAGTGCCAGCTTTCTGCCAGCTGATGCTGTGGCTAAGCCGAAACAACCCTTACCCACTCTGATTTTGTTTGCACCAGTAGGAATAATCAGCCCAGCCTGGCTTTTCCCTGATCTAGTCCACATGAAGCACACAGGTGTTGTAGCCCTGCTTAGTCTGGTCTGCCCCTATCCCAGACCATGCTCTCCAGTGGCAGTAGTTGTGCAGCAAAGGAACCACCCCTTATTCCCCTGCCGGCTCCACCCCCTCCCTTCCTGGTTCTCACGTGTGCTGGTTTGGCGCTGTAGTCACATCTAGAACTGGAAAACTCACCTTGGCATTCCATATTGTGCACTAGTTTTTGTTGCAACTGAACCTGGCTCGACCCACATTGTTCTGGTGCTCAGATTCGCCAGTGGATGTTGTGACCAGATTCAGCCTGGTCTGCCCCCGACCCATGCCAAATGTATGCCAGTGGGACACTTTCCATGACCTGTTCTGGGCTGTTTTCTATCATGTTTCTTGCACTTACCTGCCGGGTCTGTGTCCTGCCAGAGGAATTGACCAGGCTTCTCCATCAGAACCTCTCCCAAGGCCAGATTTCATGCATACCAGTGGATCCATGAGCCAGCCCTACTCAGTCCACCTCCTGTCCTAGCAGAAATAGTGGCTTTTCCTAACTGGCCTTCAACCCAAACTGGTCCTTGCTGTTGGATGTTTCAGCCTAGTCATGGTTTGTCCATACCCACATATGGCTCAAACATGGCTCAGTAGGGGGTTGAGACCTTGCCTAGTCCATCCCACATCTACCCTGGTTCTCCAGGACACCAGAGGGTGTTGGAGTCTGGCCCGGCTCAATGCATCCAATCCCAGTCCACATTTGTGCCAAGGGAGACTACAACTGTTTCCCATTCAGAACGCAGCCCCCATTCCAATCCACGCGCCCCTTGGTGGTAACCTCCACCCAGCTATTGTTGTCCCCTTAGCTCCCCAACCGGACCTGTTCCCAGCCATAGATCACTTGCCTGCCAATGGATGCTCTGACTCAGCTTGGCTCAGCCCCTCACCTGTCCTGACCTCTGCCTTAGATACTGTGGCTTAGCATCCCTGACTGATGCAGACCAGTAGGTGCAAGAGCCTAGCTCCACATGACCTGTGCTCCATGCTGGTTTCTAGTTTCGCTTGTGGGCTAAGGTTTACTGAGTTCTGCCCGGTCCATCCTGTTCCATTGCCAATAGACACATTAGCCAGCTGTTGGAGCTACTTTGCCCAACTTGTCCAACCCCCAGGTCTGGACCACAGGTTCACCAGTGGAAGCTATGACTCACCAAGGGAGTTTCCCAAGTTCCTCCACTTAATCCACTCCCAGACCCAGTTCTCATACACGCCATTGGGTTTAGGCCAGTGCCCGGCACAGTCTGGCCTTCCATTTGGCCTTGTATGAGCTGGTGAATGTTGCAGCCCGGCCCACCCTACACCCTATTCAGGATGTACATTTGGGTGCTGCTGCCAGACTATTGGTTGGGTGTTCCTTTACCTGTGACTGATGGCAGTTTCCTTGGTCACACCTAGCTTCATGCATCACCACCCCAACTCTTGAACTAACCAATGGGGCTAGAATTTCCACAGGTTTTGACCCACACATCCCTCAGAGAATCTACCCCCAGTTATGGTTCTTGAGTGCTAGTTAATGTAATGGCCCTGCTTAATGTGACCCTTCTCCTGATCCATCCTCATGTCAGGTAACAGGATATGATTCTGCTGGGCAAGCCCCAAGGCACAGCTTTTGCATGGACTGGGATTTGGTGGTCAGCATTGTTCAGTGATTACAAGTTCTTCAGAGGAAAAGTTACTGTCATTGGGAATCTTTAGGATTGATTCACGTCCTAGCAGCACAGTGGCTTCAACCTGGAGCTACCTAAGCAGTGATTCAAAGAACCAGATCCCTAGAGCTCTGCGACAGGCCCGGGGACAACTCACCACATGCACGTGGTGGCTGACATCTGGGATCCAGGCATGAGACGCCCCATCCTGAGACCCACCAGCAGCCAGGAGGCTGCTGGAAATTTATACTCCCAGGCCCAAGGTCATGCCCCCCCAATCCCATTCATTGCCCAATGGCTGGTGGCTCCTGGACCTGCCTGGTCACGGAGACCTCCCCCCTTGGTGTACTCACCCCAAAGGGAGCAGCCCCTGGAGCCCAGGCAGGTCCGGGGCCAGCTCACCACGTGCACATGGTGACTGGCATCTGGATTCCAGGCATGACACACCCTGTCCTGAGACTCACCCAGCCAACATTTTTTATATACATGCTCTGACAAGCTGTTTTTTTTATACCCTTACATTTTATTTTTGTTTCTCTTTTACCATGTGGGTGCTAAGGTCTACAGAAATCTTTGTAGGTAATTATGGTAATAACTATTACCTAATTATAGGTAACCTTAGGAACCTAAGCAACCCGGTTTATTTGTTTGCCAAGTCAAGAAAAAAGGACACTGAATTTCTAATTGGGAATTGTTGATTTTTCCCTGTTACATTGGAAGACTCTTAAGCACTCTTTTTTTATACTTCCCTACCTATTATATATATTATAAATCCATATCTATACTTTATAATGGTCATAAAAGCAGATTATTGCACAAAGCATTAATAGAAAAATGACTTGAGATCTAAATTTAGACTTCTATTTTGTAACATTCTGCATTTTCTTGGAAACTGCTGATTAGGCCCTCTAGATGTTGTCAATTTGAATTCATAGATTATTCCACTTGATTTTTATGTTTTATAGGTTCTGGCACACCTTTTGGATATGGTTTTCTATAGTGATGAAAAGGAACGAGTTATTCCCCTGCTTGTCAATATTATGCATTATGTTGTGCCCTATCTCCGAAATCACAGGTTAGTTTAATAGGTGTAAATGAATACCTGCCTGTTAAAGATAATTTTTATTACATCATTGTCATTTTTTAAAACTTATTTTTATTGCAAAATCAGATATACAAAGAGGAGGAAAGAGAGAAAGGAAGATCTTCTGTCCGTTGGTTCACTCCCTCAGCAATCGCAACAGCTGGAGCTGAGCCAATCCAAAGCCAGGAGCCAGGAACCTCCTCCAGGGCTCCCACATGGTTGTGCAGGGTCCCAAGGTTTTGGGCCGTCCTCAACTGCTTTCCCAAGCCACAAGCAGGGAGCTGGATGGGAAGTGGAGCTGCCGGGATTAGAACTGGCGCCCCTAAGGATCCTGGCACGTTCAAGGCGAGGACTTTAGCCACTAGGCCAGTGCACCGAGTCGCATTGTCATTTTTAGAATTAACCTTTAAAAAAAAAGGGGGTTTCACCTTATGTTTTTATGGTTTGGGGTAGCTTATACAGGAACCAGTTTGTGGTGCAGGAGATTGAGCTTCTGCTTAAAGTGGTTATATCCCATATCAGAGTTCTGACTGAAATCACATTGATTCTGGTTTCAATATAGCTTCCTATTAACGTGCCTAGGAAGGCAAAGGAAGTGGACCTCTGCCACCTACAAAGGATCCCTGGTGGAGTTTCTGGCTCCTGGCTTCAGCCTGGCTTACTCTTGGATGTTTTGGGCATTAAAGAGCAGGGATTAAACTGGCAATTTAAAGTTCTCTTTCTCTGGCACTGCCATTCAAATAAATAAATATATTTTCGAATACTATTGATATTTTGTGTTTTATGGCATTGTCTTGTGTAAATGTGAGTACTTACATATAACTCAGTGTGGTTAAAGTTAGACCAGACACGTGAATGTGGTTTTTTCTTTGTAGTGCCCATAATGCCCCTAGTTATCGAGCCTGTGTCCAGCTGCTCAGCAGTCTGAGTGGGTATCAATATACACGGAGAGCTTGGAAAAAAGAAGCATTTGACCTCTTTATGGACCCAAGTTTCTTTCAAATGGATGCTTCCTGTGTTAATCAGTAAGTTTTCCTCTTTCATTTGACATAATATATCTCAGTCTGCTTAGGTCAGCTGCTGTTCTTTAGAGTAGATCACTGTTTCTTACCAGTGACCACTGCACAAAATTTTAATTTCATGTAATGTCCCTTTTTCAGTTGGAGAGCAATTATGGACAATCTGATGACACATGATAAGACAACATTTAGAGATTTGATGAGTGAGTATTGGTGGAATGATAATCCAAGCAATAGCTTACCCCTTTATGTGATTCATTCTCATTTTTTAAAGATTTTTTTATTTGAAAGCCAAAGGTAAAGAGAAAGGAAGAGACAAAAAGAGTGTTGTCCATCTGCTGTTTTGCCTGCAAATGGTCACAACCGCTAGGGAGGGCTGCACAGCACTGGGCTGGGCTAGGCTGAAGCCAGGAACCAGGAGCATCATCTGGGTCTTCTATGTTGGCAAGGAAGTCTTCCCTGTGTGCCTCCTTTCCCAGGCACATTGGCAGGGAGCTGGATGGGAAGTGGAGCAACTAATGCCTATATGGGATGTTGGCATCACAGGCTGTTGCTTTACATAGCATGCCATAGCACCAGCCCCATTCTATTTACTTTGCTGTTTTCCGGAAACTGCTGAATTAGCTTCTGTCAGGTTATCCTTAGTGTACTGTGAAAATAGAGTGTTGAAAGTTACAGAGGGCAGCTTTAGTCATCAATAACAGCTAGTGGAAGGAATAGTCCATGTCTAATTTGGCTCTAAATTGTTTTCAAACACACAGCATAATACCTGCGACATAATCATCACTGAATTGATGACTGACAGATCATCAGGCAGAGAAAGGCTTTACTCAGTTGGATCCAAACTATTATACAAGCTGCTGTGTATCTCTGGGCATTTGTTTATCTGCCCTGGTGAAAGGAAGGAGCCAAGAAGATTAAAATCAACCTCTATTCCCTTGATACTTGATATTTTATTGGAAAAAACAAAAGGGGTTTTCTTAATTTTGTAACAATTTCTTTGCAAGACAGAGAGAGCAAATGAGAGAGAGGGAGAGAAAATAAGAAAAAGAAATCTTGCCATCAGTCCCCTGATGGCCAGAATGGCTGGAGCAGGGCAGGTCTGAAGCCAGGAGCCAAGAATTTCCTCTTAGGTACCCAAGTGGGCTCAAGGGTCTAAGCGCGTAATCCATTCTCTGCAACTTTCCCAAGTTTATTAACAGAGTGCTGGGTCTGAAGTCAAGAACCTTGGGCTGGAACCAGCACCCATATGAGATATGGGCATTGCAGATAGCATCTTTACCCACTAGGCCACAGCACTACCTCCAAGTTTCTTAAATTTTAAAGTTTCAGAATTACTAAACTTAAATGAACTTAACAGTGAAGTTAGGTGAAATCTTTGGCTGTTGTATTCTCATTGGGGAAAAAGACAGTATATTTTCTGTCATCTTCACATGTTTTTTCAGGTTTGGATTTCTTCACCAAATATTTCTTGAAAGATAACAATGGACCTGGTATAATAATAACTTTAATCAAGTTTTAAAAATTATTTCAGCAAGGAAGAAATAAAGGGAATAAAATAAGTATGTGTGTGATAGATTTTAAATATTAGCCAAAAAGCTTATACTTCCTATGGAACTAAAGCTGCCATGAAAAGACCTAGGAACAGAATAGTCACTGGGAAGGAAACAAATTACAAAAGTCTTTGTTGGGAGCAAATTCAGTAAGTTTATCTAATAACAGAAAAATACAGTATGACTGTGGCAGTGTGAACTACAGTTGAGGAACGAGTCAAGAGGGAAAAAAAGGTAAAAAGGTCAAGGCCATGTTTGAAATTATTTTTTTAAGTAATATGAAGAATCTGTGCTAATAACATAAAATATCTCAGGGCTTTACATGTTGTTAGTGATTTTTGCCTTCTGAAATCCATAGGTTTTAAATTTTCCTATCTCAGCATCATAGTTCCTACCACTTGCTCTACTGGCATGCAAATCTAGCATGCTGGTCTGTCTCCCATCCGTCTCTACCAGAGAACAGTTCCAAATCCTCTGTCCCAACGACCTCACATGTAGGGTGTTATAGGACACTGACCCATTTTAAAAGGATTTCTTCATTCATTCATTTAAAAAGCAAAGAGGCAGCACCAGATCTCTCATCCACGCACTGGTTTACTACCCAAATGTCTTCAGCAGCTGAGACTGGGCCAGGCTGAAGCCATGAGTTTGGAATTCAATCCACATCTCTCATGTGAGACCCAATCTTCTGACCGATCAGCTGCAGCATCACAGGTTGCACATCAGTCAGAAGGTGGAATCAGAAGTATAGGAGTACAGAAGAACTGTGATCCAGACAATCCATGTGAGATGTACGTGTTCCAAGTGACTTCTTAATTGCAATGCCAAATGCCAGCCCTGTAAGCCATTTTTTAAAGCACAACAGAATAATGTTTTTACTGACTAGATGACTATCACAGCCTCTCCCTTATTTTCTTTTTCCAGCTCGTGTAGCTGTGGCTCAAAGCAGTTCACTTAATCTCTTTGCAAACAGAGATGTGGAGCTAGAACAGAGAGCTATGCTTCTCAAAAGATTAGCATTTGCTATTTTTAGCAGTGAAGTTGACCAGTACCAGAAGTATCTTCCAGATATACAAGGTAAATATTGAAAACTAGTTGTTTTTTTTTTCAATTTTTCTAATGAAATTACAAGATAACTTTATTTTGATGCCAAAAACTTAAAATGAAGTTGATCCTTCACCAACCACTGTTAGCATCAAAAGTACTGGACTAGGTTGTGCAATTTTATTTGATAATGACTGAAATATTTGGTTATTAAAAATATACTGCTTTTCTTTCAGAGAGATTGGTTGAGAGTCTCCGTTTGCCCCAGGTGCCAACTCTTCACTCTCAAGTGTTCCTGTTTTTCAGAGTGTTACTTTTAAGAATGTCTCCACAGCATCTTACCTCACTCTGGCCTACTATGATCACAGAACTTGTGAGTTTATTTTAATTCGTTCAGGTTATAAATCTAAATTATATGCAAATGTCATTCTTTTCCTTGTACTGACTGTTTGGAAAACTAATCTTGAAAGAGCTTAAACTAATTACTGACAGTTTCTATAGTTCAAAATAGTGAAACCAATCAAATTCTATCTCCATACAGGTTGAACTTTCAAATATACAATGTAAGTGGCAACTTCTTGTGAATCATCTGATCTGATTCCATGTGTTGGCTCTTTTAAGCCACATTTTTTTACTTGGTCATGGGCAACAGGCCAGTTCCCATCTGTAACATACCTCTCATGAAGACTTAACTATATTTAAGACTTAACTATATTTAAGAAGAAGAAGAAGACTTAACTATATTTAAATTGAGTGACATAAGGCGTAAATTTGATCTTTAGATATAATACTTGAAGTTAAACTTGCTTCAGGGGCAGGCATTGAGGTCAGTGTGTTAAATATGGTGATTAAGATATCTCCTTCCCATATCTGAATGCCTGGGTGCAGTTCCCAGCCCTTGACTCTGGCTTCCGGGTAATGCAGACCCAAGGAGGCAATAGCTGATGGATGAGGTAATTGGGTTCCTACCACCTCTGCGGGGGAACCGGATTGGGTGGCTGGCCCTCAGCTTAGACCACTGCCTGCTATTTCTGGCATTTGTGGAGTGCCTCTAGCTCACAAGTTCTTTTCCCTCTCTTTCTCCATCCCCCTTTCCTCCTCCCTCTCTTTATTGGAAACAAGAACGAAAACTTTCCCAAGTCCCACCCGCTTTGACCTCTTCTTTCCCAAACCATCCCCAGTTATTTGTTTGGGAATGTTTACAGAATTGTGAAAGGAAAATGAATAAAGAATAGGATAGGTATTTCTATTTTGGAAAACCCAGCTTTATAATTTCTCCAGGAAGAATTTTGCTTTAAAATTCCGTTAACTTTTTTATCCTGATGACAAGAAAATCCTGTCTTCAGCTGATTTGATTCTGCCAAATGATCAGCAAAGCTCTGTGCTGCTAAATTTGCACTTTTGTTTTCAGGAACTATGTATAATTTAAAGGGTCCTAAAATCTGTTTTTACATTGATGAAAATACAGCCTAAAGCTAACATGAAAGCATTAAATAACAGTTTAAATAAGCGCAACATTTATTTCCCGGTCTTCAGGTACAGGTATTTTTACTGATGGAGCAAGAACTTACTGCTGATGAAGATATTTCACGGTAATGAGATTCATTCCAATGTATTCCTCTCAGTTTTTAACAAAAATTATTGAGAATATCCCTTAGCATCTAATAGTGTATAGATATTATTTATCTGAATACTTCATATATTTAGCACATTGTCTAACTGATAAAGTGGTACAAAATTTCTTAAGCATTTAAAATAAATTAAGCTGTCAGTGTTCATGACCTTTGAGGGCTATACATAAATTTATTTTAACAACTATAGTATTTGCACAACATGCTCCATGCTGATTTTGGTAGATTGAATCTGGTCCCTGAAACATTATAATATAAGACAACCTGTTATGATAGTTTAAGCCTGTTATCAGGATAGATATATGCAGATCTTCCAGAATGGCCACAGCTTAACATGCTATAATTTGATTCTTTTGCAAGAGATAGTTTTATAAAAGTTATAGGTAATTTAGAAAATGAAAAATTCCCTTAAGACCATATGTCATAAATATATTCTTTTACATGCCAGATATTTTTTAAAAAATTCTGTACCAGTGACTGTTGTTATTATTACAGAAGACTTCCATTTTTGCAGAAGGAAATTGAGTAGTAATGAGATTTATTAGTTTTACATTATATATTTGAGTGTAGTTTTTGAAAACAAAATTTAGTTATGACCTTACTTACTAATTACTGGCACACTTGAATCGGGATGATCTTGAAAAGCTTTAGCTGGCACTATAAGAATCAACAGGCGCTCCATATTGGAAAACGGCTGCAGTGCTAACATGCTGTCTGCTGTCCGCAGGGCTTCCGGCCCCTCTGTGGCTGGCCTGGAGACCACCTACACTGGGGGCAATGGCTTTTCTACTTCCTACAACAGCCAGCGCTGGCTCAACCTCTATCTCTCTGCTTGCAAATTTTTGGATTTGGCTCTGGCATTACCCTCTGAAAATCTTCCTCAGTTCCAAATGTAAGTAAAATGTTGAGTTAATATTTTTTTAATTTATTTTATGTGGTCAGTGAGATCTAAGACTATTTAATTATTTGTGCATGTTGAAACATTCATAATTGTTACTAAAAATGTAATTCTTTTGACAAGAAACAGGTTAGCACACCTATTGCACATTGTTGGTGTGGATACATTAACAAGCTGTTTCAGTGAAAATACTGAGTGCCCTCACAGCTTTAAGTGAAGGAAGATGGCATTGGAAATATGATGGGTATTATGTCAGTACTTATATGGGTTGCTTTCAGCACACATGGCAGAGACCCTTCCTAGTTTGAGGAGGCAATCCTTCCAAATTCTATGAAGTCAACATGGACTTACTACCAAAGCCAGATAGAGACACAACAGAGAAAGAGAACTACAGACAGATACCTTTGATAAACACAGATGCAAAAAATCCTCAACAAAATGTTACTAACAGACTCCACATCAGATGTACCATTTACCCAGATCAGGCATGCAGGAATGGCATAACATACACAAGGATTTGGAAGAGCTCTATGAGGCAAACTACAAAATGTTAAAAAAAATAAATAGAAGATGTTAAAAGATGGAAAAATTTATTATGTCATGGATAAGTAGTATACAGGTTTAATGCAATCACAATTATCCCAAAAGCTTTCTTCACAGATCTAAAAAAATGATACAAAAATTCTTCTGAAAACACAGGTGACCACAGATAGCCAAAACTACTACAATTCCAGATCTTTTGTTTTTTTAAAGCTTTATTTATTTATTGGAAAGTCAGATATACAGAGAGGAGGAGAGACAGAGAGGAAGATCCTCTGTCCAATGATTCACTCCCCAAGTGAGCTCAACGGCCGATGCTATGCCGGTCTGAAGCCAGGCGCCAGGAACCTCCTCCAGGTCTCCCACATGGGTGCAGGGTCCCAAGGCTTTGGGCCATCCTTGACTGGTTTCCCAGGCCACAAGCAGGGAGCTGGATGGGAAGTGGAGCTGCCAGGATTAGAACCGGCGCCCATATGGGATACCAGGGCACGTTCAAGGTGAGGACTTTAGCCGCTAGGCCACGCCCCACAATTCCAGATCTTAAGACATATTACAGGGCAGTAGCAATCAAAACAGTCTGTACTGATGTGGAGGTACAATGCAACATACATTCCTCCTTCCAAACGAAGATGGACTCCCAGTGAAACTGGTGGAAATGTGTAGACGCTGGGATGCTGGACTGTCTGACATTGTACCAGCAGTGTTGGAGTACACTTAAATAAGAGACTGATGAAATTATGACTGCTTATGAAGGACTATACTATTGTAACAACAAAGGGAAAAGCTGTCGGGGTTGGGGTATTGAGGGGAATCCCAGTCTATACAAAATTATACGATAAAATTCAAAAATTTTAAATAAAAATATATAACAACAACAAAGAGTCTACTGAAACAGGAAAGTCAGGGGAACAGAATAGAAACCCCAGAAAAGAGCCCACATATGTACAGCCACCTAATCCTCAATAAGACAATGGAAAATAACCCAGGGGAAAGGCTGGTGTCAACAAATGTTTTTGGGACAATTGGATAGTCATGTGTAGAAGCAAGAAACAAGACCCCCCACATTCCACCATATACAAAGATCAAATCTAAATGGATAAAGGACCTAAGTCTATAACCAGATACCATTAAACTACTAGAAGAAAACATAGGAAGGCACTGTACATGATACAGGCATAGGCAAAGACTTCCTAGAAAACCCACCAGAAGCACAGGGAGGCAAAGCCAAAATAATTTGGCTCACATCAAACTAACAAGCTTCTGTGCAGCAAAGGAAACTGTCAACAAAGTGAATAGGCAGCCAGCAGAATGGGAGAAAATATTTGCACACTACATGGCTGATAGGGGACTAATATCAGGATTTACAAAGAGCTCCAGAGGGTCGGCGCTATGGCTCAGTGCTAAATCCTTGTCTTGCACACTACACGGTCCCTTATGGGTGCCGGTCTGTGTCCTGGCTGCTCTACTTCATCCAGCTCCCTGTTTGTGGCCTGGGAAAGCAGTCAAGGATGGCCCAAAGCCTTGGGACCCTGCACCCATGTGGGAGACCCAAAAGTTCCTGACTTCAGATTGGCTCAGCTCCATCAGTTATGGCCACTTGGAGAGTGAACCAGTGGATAGAGGGACTTTTTCTATCTCTCCTCCTCTCTATAAATCTGCCTTTCCAATAAAAATAAATGTTTTAAAAAAAACCTCCAGAAACACAGCAACAGCAAAACAAACCAGCTAAGAAATGGGTGAAGGAAGTGAGCAGATATTTTTCAAAAGAACAAAATCAAATTTGTATCAAATATATGGAAAATCTTTTTTAAAAAATTATAGGAGAAAAGAAGGTATTGTAATCAGTATTGTAGGCATGATCTCTATTTCAGAAGCTCAAAATATTACATAATTTTACTACATACAAAGTAAAAGGTATCTGTGTAACTTAAAGATAGCAGTGAATTGGGAAAACACTGTCAGTATACAAGGGTACTTTAGAATGTTAGTGGAAAAATGGAATTTTAAATCTGTTTCTTTTGGTTCAGTTTTTTTTTTTAATAATTTTGGTTTATCTGAAATCATTAAAGAAGTCTTTTATTTGCTCATTTACTTCCTGAGGTAGCCATGAAACCCACGGCTGGACCAGACAGCAACCAGAAACCAGGACCTCCCTCCTGATCTTGCTCATGGGCGGCAGTGTCCAAACACTTGGGTTATATTCTGCTGCTTTCCCAGACCATCTGCAGGGAGGTGGAACAGAAGTGGGAAAGCCAGGGCATGAACCGACGCCCCATGGGATGACAGTGCCACAGGTGGCAGCTTTACTTACTATGCCAAAACAGCACACAAAAATTCTTTTTTTTAGACATACATTCATTTTCCACGAATTCTTTGAAAACCTAGTGAATGATAAAAGTCTAACATGCTTACTATATAAAAATGAATACCTTGTTAGAAAAAAATGAAACAAAAAGCAATAATTGATAGTTTGTATAATAAAGAAGAAATGCTTCTAAACGGTAAGGTGCTGATCTGAACTCACAAGAGAAATACCAATTAAAATGATTACTAAATGTCAGCATGGCAAAGAAGTGAGAGCTTTTTTTTTTACTTTTATCCCTAACAACAAAAGCATTCATATTCTCTTCTTTTGCTTTCCAAAGACAAAAACAAGGTACAGACGTTTGGCCCAGCAGTTCAGATGCCTTTGAGATGCCCACATTCCAGGTGGCAAGGCCTACATGGGTATCTACCCGTCTTCAGCTCTGCCTCTGTTTCCAGCTTCTGCTTGTGGACACCCTGAGAGGCAGAGAATGGCTTCAATAACTGGGTCCCTGCCATTCATGTGGGAGACCTGAGTGAAGCTTGGCACTCCTGGCTCTGGGCTGGTCATGTCCCAGCTTTTCCAGCATTTGGGAAGTGAATCTACTGGAAGATACCTGTGTCTCTACCTTTCAAGTAAATAAAAAATGTTTAAAAAGATAAAAATTGGGCCCGGCGCGGTGGCGCAAGTGGTTAAGTCCTCGCCTTGCACGCCCGGGATCCCATATGGGCGCCGGTTCTAATCCCGGCAGCCCCGCTTCCCTTCCAGCTCCCTGCCTGTGGCCTGGGAAGGCAGTCGAGGACGGCCCAAGCTTTGGGACCCTGCACCTGCGTGAGAGACCTGGAAGAGGCTCCTGGCTTCGGATCGGCATAGTATCGACCCGTTGCGGCTCACTTGGGGAGTGAATCATCGGACGGAAGATCTTCCTCTCTGTATCTCCTCTCTGTATATCCGCCTTTCCAATAAAAAATAATAAAAATAAAAAAAAAAATCTTTAAAAAGATAAAAATTAAGCACAAGGGAACTGCGAAGGAAGCCCTGCTTTTTTAAACTTTAATTTTTTCTCATTTCTTGGCCTCACATTTGTATACCCAGGGGACACTTATCCAATTGGGAAATAAAATCTTTGTTAGATCGGAATGTTATGACATAATAAGAAAAAACAAAGGCAATTTTCCTTTTAAGAAGTTTTAGCCTATTAGTTAATGTGGAAGAGTGGCGCACCTGACATTTGAACCTGGTGAGGCGATAATTTTTCTGCATTACATATCTTCATCTTACGTGACACAAAACCTTCCTATTGTTGCTATCCTACACATAGGTACCGTTGGGCCTTTATTCCAGAGGCTTCCGATGACTCTGGTTTGGAAGTCAGAAGGCAAGGCATACATCAACGAGAATTTAAACCTTACGTGGTACGACTAGCAAAACTCCTTCGGAAAAGAGCAAAGGTATTGTGCATTTTTTTTATTCATTTTTGCTTTGCTAATTAAATGTTGCTTTAATGAGGCATTTATTAAATAGTTCCTGGGAAACAGAGGTGATTACCATATTAAGCTTGTCTCTAGAATTAAATGTCCATGAGCCTAATAGTACTATTTTTAAAAGTACATTGTAAAAAAAATACATTGTAGTTTTTTAAAATATATTGGTTATCATATTAAAATTCTAAACAGAAGAAAATGGGAAGCTTTTGTGCACTAATAATAAACATACTTTAAAATATTTCCCCCTCACAAAAAAGAACGTTAGAACTTTGCATGTAATTACTTAACACTCTCGTCCTAAACAATTTTCACATCAAAAACTTGAGAATTTGTATGTCCACAATGTTCAGTGCTGCAATGAGAAGCAAAATCTGAGTTGATTGAAAAGTGTGAAGGGATGTCATGTTTATTCCACTAGAACTCATCTGAAGGTAAGGAAAAAAATATATTTAAACATTTTTTAAATGGACTCATTTGTTCAAAAGTGGGTAGACTTCGATTAGAAAAATGAAGAGAATAATCATTAACATTTAGCTTACCCATGTGAAGTAAAATGTATACGTTAAAAATTTCTTTTCTACATTGGTGGTTTCCCCTGTTTAAATCATGAACTACACTGAGATCCAACCTGGTACAGCGTGGGGGTGGTGGGTGGCGAACGTCCAGCCTGCAGGCTTCTCTGGCCCTGAAAATTCGGGTCTGGCCCTGCCAAGGCAACTGCAGGTGGGACTTGAAATTCAGTGAATCTATAGCAAACTAATTTTTAAGCTGATAATTTTGGATGGCCCATGATTGATGTGGTAAGCACCCATATGGCCCATGGCAGAAAAAAGGTTCCCCACCATAGCTGTACAGTTATGTAACAGAACCTAATTTTCTCTTTAAACTTGCCCTTTTCCATGAGATTGTTTTTCTTTAGTTTCCATTGTTGATTCTCTTATGTCCCATTTAAATAAATTTCAAGACCTGTCCTGTACACCAAGATTTGAAAGCATTGCTGGAAGTATTAAACTTTATTAGGAAGGTTGTAAAAGTCTTCATTATTATTATAAAGATCTTTATTAGCAAGGTAGTAAAGTGACTCAAAAATACAAAGCATCTAATTAGAGAAATTTCTCAAGGAAAAAGTAGGAATTTTTTGTAGTTTAAGCATCAAATAAATAAAATACAGATAAAATTTGTAAAATATATCACATCTTAATAGTATTCAGTATGCATCAGGCTGTTACTGGAGGTTTTCACCAGAGAACAGGACATTAAAGAAACTGGTGTGCATATCATGATCCCTTTGTTGCTTGTTGTCATTTTTTTTTTTTCATTTGAAAGTTTAAAAAACATTGTACAGTCTGAGGCTCTGTTTTGTGAGGCCTTGTTTGCAGTATTTGTGTTGAATGCCTTACAACTTTTCAGTCTCCTGGAGTATCCTAACAAGCAATTACACTTAAGCTGAATTTCACCAACGTGTTTATACATGAAATGGATAAAATTCATTGAAGACATGAGAAGTTCAGAGTCTCAGTTGCTGCTTTAGGGGTGACAAAAATGGACAGATAAGGATGAAGTTTAGAGGTCAGGCTAGGACTTGAATGCTCTCACTTTGACATCCCAGAACCTGAATTGACAATCACAACAAAGCCAAATCAGTGTGAATATATAACTTCCCATGCACATGCCATTTTGCACTGCATCTCGTTAGGAACAACAAGTTTTATAAGACCCTTGCTTATCCAGAGGATAAATAATGACAGCCTTTGGCCCAAAACTTGTCCCACATAGTAAGACAAGATTTTTATTTGAAAACTTCTTCCCATTGAAATCACTTTAAGCAAGGTCTTCATGGCCAAGCATACTTTTACTGCAACAAAGGTTGTGAGTCCTCTTCCCTTCCGCAGGACAAGGAGGACTTTGAGACAGTGGTTTTGGAGGGACTGGAGATGGCCAAGCATCAGGTGAGGGTGGCTGTTTGAAGCTTGTGATATGGCAGTTAAAGCTGCCACTTCTGGACCAAATATTGAGATACACACCCAGGTTTTAATTTCAACAAGCCCAAAAGAGGTTAACAGGAAGGAACTCTCTTCAAGTGTAGACTGGTGAAGTCAAAGGAGAGAGAATTTTTGTGAAAACTTAACATTGAAGGAGAAGTATTGTGGTTAATGACCAGGAATACTGAGGTGCACGCTTCTTGATCATGTGCTTAGCCAAAGTACCTCACTTAAAGGCATATCTTGATAAGACTGTAAATAAAAGATTGTGCCATAGTTCTTACAATTGGAGATGAACTATTAAAAGAATTCAAACATATCATTTTCTGCCAGCAGAAATTAATTTCTGTATATATTTTTTTTTATTACCATTGAAGTGTGGTTTGATTTGAGGACCTAGAAGTACAGTGATCAGCCAGGACTTTGGCAGTGGTAGTCAGTGATGTGACAGAGCAAGTCTGTGTCATAACAGAAAGGAAAATGCTTTTGTAACTCCAGTAGCCTAAATCAGAAGTTACAGAATTTCTAAAAGCTAAATTGATAACTTTTTTTTTGCGATTTGGTTTGTTTTTCTGCTTCTGATAAATATCTCGGTGATCCTATTTGCTCAGCAGTCTTCCATTAAAACTTACTCATAGCTTACTTTAAAATAAGCAAACCAACCTTTAGAGCACAAAGTAAATTGCACTTTGATTCCCCTAGGAAACTGCAATGACAAAACGTTAAGTGGGCAAGTGTTTGGCCTAGCAGTGAGAACACCAGCTGGGTGACTGTACCCCCTGTGAGAGTTTCTGGGTTTGAGTCCCAGCTATTCCAACTTACTGCTCAGGTTCCTACCTTTCATCTGGGGGGTTCAGATGTTGAGTTCTGGGTTACTAGCTGTGACCTATGCTTGCCCTCAGCATTGCAGGCATTTGGGGAGTGAACTAGCACAGTGAAAGTTTATCAGCAAACTCGTTAGTGAATAACCAGTGAGTGACTGATGATAATTGTACTTCCTAGGTCTCATCTTTTTAATCTTGTTTTATTTTGTCATACATCCATTCAATCATACGTTGTTGTAGCTGGCTTTTGTAAGCTAGCTTCTTAATACATAAAAAAAAATGTGGGGCCTGGCACGGTGGCGCAAGTGGTTAAGTCCTCGCCTTGCACGCCTGGGATCCCATATGGGCGCCGGTTCTATCCCGGCGGCCCCGCTTCTCTTCCAGCTCCCTGTCTGTGGCCCGGGAAAGCAGTCGAGGACGGCCCAAAGCATTGGGACCCTGCACCCGCATGTGAGACCCGGAAGAGGCTCCTGGCTTTGGATCGGCATAGCATGGGCCGTTGAGCTCACTTGGTGAGTGAATCATCGGATGGAAGATCTTCCTCTCTGTCTCTCCTCTCTGTATATCCGCCTTTCCAATAAAAACATAATAAAAATAAATCTTTTAAAAAAATGTGAAAACTGTCAAACAATTTAAGATTTATTTTTATTGGAAAGGCGGATATACAGAGAGGAGGAGAGACAGAGACGAAGCTCTGTACGTTGGTTCACTCCCCAAGCAGCTGCAACAGCTGGACCTGAGCCAATCTGAAGCCAGGAGCCAGGATCTTCTTCCAGGTCTCCCACATGGGTACAGGGTCCCAAGACGCCCATATGGGATACGGACGCGTTCAAGGCGAGGACATTAACTGCTACGCTATCATGCTGGGCCCTCACATATATTTTCTACTGTAATACAGAGATTAGACTTTCCTGCTTTGTAAGTGTGGAATCACTGTACCCTGCCAAGGATGCATAGAAGGTAAATAGCAGAGGCAAAACCAACCTGAGACTTTGACTTTAGGCCTGGCTTTTTTTCCCTGGTCATTTAGAACAGGCCAGGAGGCAGCAGTGTCTCCTTCCTCTGTGCTGCAGAATGGATAGTCACTACTTACTCTCGAACCTCCTCCCCCCACCGTGTGACAAACTTAAGGCACCTGATTAAAAGGGAAGTAAGTATTTAACCAGTGGTAAATGTAAAAACTCTTGGTCCCTATCTCATTTTCTTCTGTACTCATGTTACAAACTGGTTGCATTCTGGTTGGAAAACACTACTCCAGTTAGACCACTCCATATAAAATTAAGTGGCACTAAAAGACCTCTAAAGCAAGAGGTTTTAATATAGTGTGGAAAGTTTTCATTTGTATTTGTTTCTTAATTCTATTGATGTTTACATCCTTTTAAGGTCTCCTAACATTCTGTCTCATTTGTCAGCAATAATTGCCTTTTTGTTTTTTGCAGAAAAACCCAGAGGAAGACAACTCAGGGAGAACGTTGGGTTGGGAGCCGGGGCACTTGCTGCTCAGCATCTGCACCGTGCGCAGCATGGAGCAGCTCCTGCCGTTCTTCAATGTCCTCAGCCAGGTCTTCAACAGCAAAGTCACAAGCCGACGCGGAGGACACTCAGGGAGCCCTGTCCTCTACTCAAACACCTTCCCGAATAAGGACATGAAACTGGAGAACCACAAACCATCCTCCAGCAAAGCCAGGCAAAAAATAGAAGAGATGGTAGAAAAGGATTTTCTGGAAGGAGTGATAAAAACTTGAGCATCGCAAGTGGTTCCATTTAACTTAAATGTAATTACTGAAACACTACTGAGTTGTATAGTTTTGGGTTTTTTTTTTTTGTATGTAACACTTCAGATTGTATTTAATTTAAATATTTGTAAATAAGAGCAAATGTCTGAATATGGCCTGAATCAAGTATAAATAGTGCTGGCTCATACTGATTATGATGCCTGAGAGAGCTATATATACGTATGATTCATTGTTTTACTGTCCTGAGTTGTCGTAAACTTGCAAAATATACACTGCACATTTTTCTACTGGTTTCAAGTTTGCTTTAATTTAGATCAGTTGGGGATTTGTTTTTGTTATTACTCATGTTCTGGTATCGGAATGGTATCCCTTCTCTGTAAGAGGTTTAGTAATGAATTAGGTTTTCTTCCACTACCTCCACTAAGACCGTGAAGAGCAACTGAAGCCTGGACCACAAGGCCTTCCGAGTGTAGCAGGAACATCTCCCTCGGCACAGAACAGACGGAGCCGCCCTCCGTTCACACCTGATTTCTGACGATGTTAAGCAGACAGGTAAGTCATGTTCCAATCATTGAGAACCTGTTGTATAAAGATGGGGAATACTACAAAACAATGTTGTGATTTAGTAATGGCAGTCAGAACAGGAGGTGGTAACATTTAATTTTCCAGCAGCCTACATGAATTAACTTGGTATACCATGAAGTTAATCATCAAATCACATAATCCCAACACTTCATATTGGTGAAACAAAGGTAAATTTCTTTAGAAGTAGTAATTCTTATTAAAATTATTCTTGTAGTGTTTAAGAAATATAGGGAGATCTAGAAATGATCCAAATGGGTACACTGTAAACAGTGATTATAAATATCTCATTATTGCTCTTATGCCAGTTTTATAAAAATGTAAAAAATACAGCTCCTTTGGAATATAAAAAGTATCTTCAGGAATGTGGTTGGGGTCTTTCTCCAGTGCCTCCAGCCAGTTCAAACACTGCCAGGCTCACTTCATGTGCAAGGCTATCTGCGCTTTCCTGCAAAGACAGTAAAGGAGATTATATGAGAAAGACAGCATCTACCGCTTAGAGGACTCTAGAGGACAGGGCACTTTTGAATTCTTTCACTATTAGGTTTAAATAAGACCTTTTTTCATCTTTCAGCAACAAATACCAAGGCCCTTAAGTAGGTGAGCAACAAGTGAAATTCATCTAAAAAAGGTAAGTGTATAGTTAGGCTATAATTTTTACTCCAAATACTAAGTACATTCAATTAAACTTTGTGCAAGAATGCCACATATGACCTAAGAGCAAGTAAACAAAAAAGGCAAGGGCTGTCATTTACAGGAAACTTTATGAAAATCTTTGCTTCCAGTTTGAGTTTTCAAAAGTCACAACATTATTCTTCCCAAAGTTTCAAATCTGACACTTTGGGAAAGCCTAGGAAAAATGACAGTTATTTGGGAGCATAAATGGAGTGATTCTAATTTTGCTCAAGTACATAACTATTGATACAAATTTTGTGATCTTCATATCAGCCTTAAATATCAGAGAGGGGTTCCAGATACTACCGAAACAGTTTTCTTTCCTAGTACCTCTCCCTGCCCTCTGTTATTAGACTCTGCCCGCTGTGTTCAGAACGCTCCCCTCTTACTTGTGAGTCTGCTTCCGCATATACCCGGACCACATCTTCTGTGCCAGAGGGCCGGACAAAAGCCCGGGAGAGCTTGTATTTGTTCACCAAGGCATCAATGGCCTCCTGCAGTCCTGGCGGTGTGACTGCTCGTCTTTCAGCATCTGTCGTGCTGATAACTCTCCTGTCCACAACCTGAGCAAAAGCATTTCGTGTTTGTTGCTATATTACATTCCCTTTCAGCTTAACCCACCCCACATAATTTCTACCAAAGGTTTATGCTGACGGACCTTTATTTTGGCTTAACGACCACAGAGTGCAACACTGATGGAACTTTTAGTGCAGTTTCATCCTAAGCTCCATTTCTCTATGGCCAAGGTTATTAATTTCAGCATTTTACAACTTCTATTTTGTTTTCAATCTTTACAGAATTATTACCTTTTAAAAATTCCAGACTGTTTTACAGTTACCACTAAAATACTGGTTAGTGAATACCATATAACCTAAAAATTCCAAAGCAAGCTTCAGGTACCAGTGTAGCCATTCATCGGACAACTTAAGTAGTCAAACCGGACCAAGGGAACCTATTGAGAACTTAACAGGAATCTCCTAGTTAAGCCAAAAACTAATCAACAAATTCTGTAGGTAAATGTATAGTGAATAAACCATTAAAAATCAAGAGCACAGTCATGTGTGGTAGGAATAAACAAAAAATCAGCAATGTATCTGAAGTGCCTTAAATTCTCTTTTGAGGCCACAGATTCTACTTAGTATCTAGCAAGGGAAAGTATGTTCACTGGAAATGACAGGCTGCCTGGGTTTTGCTTAAAAATAAGGGTATGGAAATGTATAGGGCAATGCCTGAAATCTGTAAAAGCTGGTACATGGGTTCATTGTCTTACATTTTTTATTTTCCATAATAAAATCTTTTTTAAAGAAAATGTAGTCACTCATACCATTTTTCTACATTGGGAGCCAGATACTTACCCATTACACAGGGAATAAATTCACTTAGTTAAACAATAGAATGGTTATGTCCTTGTGAATTTCAAAATGGTATTTTATAAGAAATAATTGATAATAAGTTTGAGTCAGTAGTCAGAAGTTACTCTCATACCTTAACCTTGAGCTGTCTATTTGGAAGATCGGTGTAAAGTGCATCCCACTGTTGCACACTCAGGCCCTTCAGCATCAAGATGGCCTCAATCACCAGCATGTCAGAAATGGCATCACCTGTTGCCTACAGGATAGGGAAACAAAAAGTAACTACTGTTAACACAAGCAAACCTTGGACATGAATGTTCTGAGGGAGAAACCGACATAGTAGCCTGGGTTCCCTCCTTCCCCTATCCCTATGTAGCAGTAACGGACAGATTTTCTGTGTGTAGATCAATAGGTATGAAGAATAGGGCAAAGATACTCATGAAAGATAATAAAGGTATTTAAACAATACAGAAGTCGCTCTTAGGAGATCTGTCTTTAATACAGCCTCATCATACATAAGGACTAAGCTACTCTAAGGTTCCCACATAACATTGTATGTCTCAAATTTTTCTTTATTATGGTTAATCTCAAGAGTTCTAGTTATGTTTGTAACAAAGAAATATGAACTTCGGTCTAAATGCAGTTGAAGTTGGATCCACTCTGCCATTTCCAGCCCTAAGCCTTTGATCCTTCAATTAAAAATGGAATTGTACTAACTCTTCTCTCCATATTACCATGTACAAGGATTGCAAAATAACTATGTAAAGAGCCCAACATACAGCAGTTACTCAAACATTAATTCCACCATTTTTCCTTGAGTAATGTTCTTGCATAGCTATAATCTGTATTCTAGTATCAACTATCAGCCCTCATACAAAGACTTCAAAAAATTCATGGGAAATACTTGTTACAGAGAAACCGTGCCTGGGTTTCAAACTTGCTTTTTTTTTTTTACTAAAATTTCTTTCAATTCCATTTTCCATGAGTTTTCTGAAGTACCCTTTTATATGAATGTAGAGTTCACTGAAAACAAGCACAACCAAGAGTCCACTGCCCCATCCATTCTGACCTGGTTGAACAAGTCAATAATATTTTCAAGCATCGTGGCAGCCCTTTGTTTCTTCTCATCTGACTCTTCCGCTAGTTGTTTTATCTTCGCTTCAACAGCTTTGTTAAACAGTGCCTGCAGTGAGAACGTAAACATCAGCCATGCAGTGCTATCCCAGCCCACCAGGAATACTGTCGTTACAGCTCAATCTGTGCCCAGACCAAAGAGGGAGAAGCTAAGGGCGAAAAGAGCAGTCTCTCAATTTATGAAAGTAGTGAGATCCAGTCAAAACCCCAAGGTTATGGATAAATAGGAGAAGAAATTTCTTCTCTCCTAACACTTGTAAACATTTAAACTGATGACACAGAAAAGGCCACCTGGACCAAATATGACCACATAGTGAATTCTTCCTGTCTTTCTCCTCAGCTAACAAGATTAGTTCTGTGTGACCAGGTTATGAAGCCTACCTTAAAGGATGTAACTAATAGAAACCATTACTTTTATTACCCTAAAATCATTACATATTACCAGCTAAGCAACACCAGAAAATTTTCTGGTTTTTTTGTTTGTCACAGTAAAGAGTATCAAGAACTTACATGACAGGCTGAAGATTTCCGTCATACATTCCTCACCTTTTTATTGTCCTCAAGAAGTCCTAATCCCAGGAGGATAGCACACCACGCTCAGCTATTTAATGAAATACATGGCCACTGATAAAATCAGGTACTGGCTGATTGCCATTATGTAAATAAACTTTCACAGCAGTACCCTCTGCTGGGCCAGTAAAGCTAAGTGGTTGCAACAGAAGCTTCAGGGACTGCAATGCCTAAAATATATTAACCCACCCTTTAGAAATTCACCTGCAAGTCCTTGCATTTGGTCATTCACTAAAGTTATATTTTGTTGAAAAGGATTAAAAATGGCACATTTTTTCTTTTACTGCACAAGCAGAGACATAGACTGCTCACCAAATGCCCACAGTGGCCAGAACTGGGCCAGCTAAAAGCAGGGAACTGGGAACACAAAACAGTTCTCCCACATGAGTGGCAGGGACTCGAGTATATGAGCAAGCACCTACTGCTTCCCAGCGTGCACAAGAAACAAGGAACCTGGAGCAAGGCCAGGACACAGCCGCAGGCACTCGGATATGGAATGCAGGCCCAAGTAGCCAGGTCAAATGCCAACCACCTGCACATTTTTAAAAACTATTAGAGGCAAGCATGTAGCTTAGCAGCTAAGATGCCAGTCAAACCATGTCTGAATGCCTGTGTTTAATAATGGGCTCTCAGCTTCCTAGTAGTGCACAGCCTGCAAGGCAGCCACATGCCAGGGCTCAAATAATTGAGTCCCTGCCACCCATATGGGAGACCTAGACTAACTTTCCAGCTTCCAGCATTGTCTCCTCCTGGAGTCACTGAAGGCACCTGGCAAGTGAGCCAAAGGATGGGAGTTCGTTTTCTCTGGCTCTAATATTCAAAAAGCAACAAAATATTCAAAGATGAATACAAGGATTACAAACCCTAACTTTCATAATACATGAAAATGTGAATTAACCAAGTAATCTGATTTGCCACCTTCCAACTGTTTCAACAAAGTAGAATATTATCTTCTACTACCTAGATACAGG